GCCTGTTTACTCAAATCCTTGGCCATTGAACTATATTACCCTTGTTTTAGGGACTGCCTTGACATTTTCCCATATATGGACACATTGATTAACTTTACCTGACGTCAATAAAGCCAGCAATAAGATTGATTCCGACCCAAAAAAATTATTCCAGGTCCTTCAAAAATCATCATTTTTCTCTCTAAAATTTAATTAATATCTCAATAATATTCAGAATATAACTCTGACTGATATTTGCCCTCTGTTCTCCTGTATATTGAATCTGGAAACAAATATACACCATGATATTTTTATTCTGCACTAGATTGGATTTTGGCAAGAATCCACTATATCCAACAACCAGGGGATTTTGAACAAGAAAAGGAATTTTCCTAAAAATATTTTCTTGATTAAGCATTCAAAGGTAAATACCGTATTCTCTGTAATTACCGCCCACTCTCTAATAAGCGCCCACCCCGCTTCACAAAGTTCAAGAAACATCGAGGAATCAACAAGAATTGAAGAATATATCAGGAAAAAAATATTTCTCAAAATCCAGGAGCGGGCGATAATAGAGTACTTACCCTAAAACTGCTGTAAACACGACGCGTTTTGTAATTCTATGCATCCTCTCGATACATATCTATCGATGGGTGCTTCCCACACCATACCATGCTAATATTGTCTCCAAATAGTCCATAATGAATGAAGGAATTGTTCTTTATCGGCATTCAGAAATTTCAAAAGCTACTGCGCAGATGTTCTGCGCATGTCAAGGTCGTGAACTTTCTGGTTTCTTTTTAATGTTTCTCGACTTTTACACGACTTTTGCACGAATAATGATGATCTCTCATCAAATTAGAAATAATGTATAACTTTAGATCGATATCCAGCAGTCTCTAGTGGAAATATTGAAGGTAATCGGCGATAATGACAAAGTGGGCGTGCCGGAAATAAATTAGACATAGACGGGTCTTCAACCACTGTCAATATTGTCTAAGCGATCTTTACCGTATTCTCTCCAATAACAGCACTTGTCATATTATTATAAAAATATGTTGAAGAAAATGCATTCTTGTCAAGAAAAATTGCCATACATGAAATTCCTCGGGATTTCTGATTTCTTTCATACATGGGCGCTTATTAGAATGGTCTAAATAATGTATTTTCAATTTTCTAAACGCCCTGGGCGCTAATTACAGAGAATACGGTAGGTGCTGTACAATAAAGCTCCACATCCGTGTATATTTATCTTATCATATAGTTTTTGACATTGCAATCACATGATCAGGCCTGTAGCCAGGATTTGCCAAGGAGGGTACACTTTTTGAAAAATTCAAGGGGGGTTCACTTGTGACAATTTTGGTCCAAAAATGGCCTAAATCAATCAAAGAGTGCTCAGAATTGTGAAAAACTGCATGATTTTGAAATAATTTTTGGCCGGGGGGGGGGGTTCCCTTGAATCCATCGAACCCCCCTGGCTACGGGCCTGATGATTTATTCGAAATTGATGTACATCAATTTGATAATTGTATCAATTTTGATACGACTACTATAACGAGAAGTGAAAGAGGGTGTAGTTTTGGTTAGTGTAATATAATAAATTTCTCATTTTTTATCATGCCAAAAATTAACCTAGACATGCTGCTTCAAATCTATGAGATAAACCGATAGCTGAAATCGACAGTACTTGTAATTATTTCCTGCCTCTGTATATATCGGATGGCGTAAAAATCTTATTTTAACAACATACATCTTAAAATAGACCAATTAGTTTAAAGTGAATACTAAAATATTCTATATTTAGATATGTAGTTCTATATTAATCTTAATATGAAATCATTTGCACTGATATTTATTTTGAAAAGGGTTAAAAATATTTCATAATACAAACATCAAAATATCAATTTTCTTCTTTTGTGTAAATTTGATTTGTGAATAAAATGTTCAATCTAAAAATGGATGATTTTTCATTTCGGTTTAGGTTTCAACAAAACATTTAGTCATTTAGTTTAACAAATTGCCAATCCCTTTTCAACTTCTTTAATTGCATGCCCTTGGCTAACTATGTCATGTTAACCTTACAGCATTATAGTCAAATAGAATATAAACTGACAGATGAACGACAAGAGTATACTTTCCAAATAAAACAAAATTTTGAGTGTACATAAATAAGAACATGTCTAGTCTGGCGCAAACAAACAACCTGATGAATAACTAAAGTACATAGTAAAGTAAATCATAGACAACGCCCCCCTTAGATAGAAGAAAAGAGCTTTAAAATGCTTTAAAATATGTTACTGTATTTTAAAACATCATGTATGGGCATTTTCTATGTGAGTGGAACTTTCCTCTCATCCTGTTTTTTTAAGTTTACTTAAACTTCAATATCTGAAAAATGATTGGTTATTTGTTCAAAGCACTCCCGAATCTCAAACATAAGTGCATTTTCGAGAATATCTAAAATCTCAATTGGGTGCAATTGACTAGCAAAAGGGTGCAAAGTGATTTCAACTGGGCGAATCACTGGGTGCAACAAGTGGATACTTCAATGTTAGTTAAATAAATGATAAAGCTTTTTAACACCGCCTGATTTCTTATTTTTTATTTATTTATTTATTTGGATTCTACTCTTTTGTAAGGCCTTTATGAGCCTACCACTACAATCAATCTTTTATCACTGATATTGCTTCTATTTATATTATTTTTTTTTGAAATACACAAGGTAGATATGCTTGCTAAAGCTTGTGACCCCAAACCCAGGCCCGTAGCCAGGATTTGTCAAGGGGTGTTTACTTTTTGAAAACTTCCAAAGGGGAGTTCACTTGTGACAATTGTGGTCCAAAAATGCCCAAAATCACTTAAAAAGTGCTCAGAATGGTGACAACTGCATAATTTTGAAATATGAAGAAGATAAGGGGGGGGGGGTCCTGAGGCTTGAAGCTTGACTAGGGATGAACTAAACGTATCTTGAAGAGTAGACAGACTCAATTTAAAAACAAAACATATGTAGCCTATTTAACATTGTCTGGAAGCGTATTGAATGTCAGCACTGATTTAGAGAAATGACTTTTTTTACAACACTCTTAGTTTCAATTTTTTAACTGTTATTTATTCTTTACAGTTACTTTTACATTGATTATCAAAACCTAAAATAATAGTTTCTGAATTCTTACTGATGGTTCAAGCAATTTCATTTAGAACGATTCTCACAATTTTTTAAAAAACTGAGTGTTCCTGCTACCCATGTAAACTGATGATACTTGAATATAGGTGGTGCTCTACAACTGTTGATAATCGGACACTATCCCCAATATGGAGAACACATAGATGGGACAAATGTTCAAGAAAGTTCTACAGGGTGGGCCAAAAAAAACGCCACTTTTTTTTCAAAATGCTTTAACCTTTTTAATTTTTGATGCAAAATAATAATTTACATACCAAATGAAACTTGAGGTTGTTATCTAGCCATTGATCATGAATCATACACTTTTACTTGAATAAAATATGTCACAGCGTCTCACTTAAACATGTGGTGTGCCATGAGAAATAAGCATAATTTGCATAATGTTCCTAAACTGATACGCCCTGATGATCGCCAAGCTAATAGCCCTAATTCAAACCCAAGTGAGTATAGGGTATGGGGAGGTCTCCAGGAATTGGTATGAAGGTACCCAATCTAAAAAATTGCTTAACTACAGCTGGCAATTAGGACACGTTGAAAAAAATCTAGCTAACATTTTATTGATACTGCTATATCAGCAAGGAGACTAAAACTAAAATCTATCATCAAATGGCGTGGCGGACCAATTGAACTCCTCTTTTAGATCAAATATAATCCCAGTTGAAGGACTTGTTACATTACATTATTACTAAGAACCCTTGGCACTATATGACTGCAAAATTTGGGGTATGTAGGTTGGAAAATAAAAAAGTTATAGTGTCTTGAAAAAAAAGTGGCGTTTTTTTGGCCCACCCAATATCTAGATGGGATAAGTCCAGGACTTTTGTCACTTGTTTGTGTACATATAACTTACTATCATGTACATTTTTACATAAGTTTTTACATATGACTTTTATCTTCAAGACAACAAATGTTCTAGAAAATTCGAACACTGAAACTGGTAATTATAAATCAATAGATTAACTTAAATATGACAAGTCAAGGTTTTCTGACACCTGTTCTTGTTTATATAAACATTACTATCATGTACATTTTTACATAAATTTGCATCTTCTTCAAGATTCTAGAAAAACAGCTCTGTCTGAACAAAAACAACAATAAAGATGATCGCATAAATCTAAATAAACACAATACATTTCCATCTACTCAAGCTTATATTTCAAGCACTTTTTAAACTGTACCATAAACATTTTAGTTTGTACAAGATAAGCCCTTGTATTAGGCTTATATCATAGCACAATCTTACAACTAACGTCACACTGGTTTGGTAATCGGGGGAATACAAGGCTGCTCAGTTGCAATTAAAATAGCTTCATGTAATTCATTTCCAAAAAGTATCTGTACTAAACGAAGGCCAGTAGTTAAAATGGCAACGTCACAAAACAACTCTGTAGTACTATAAATTGGCAGAGTGCCAAAAGAAAAATCGAGAATATTTTCTGTCCTAAAATAAATCAATGTTACCTGAACAGAAACTTAAGTTAGTGGTGGAGGTTAGTAAGTGGAGATAACGGTTTCATAATTTTTGTTTGGAGTTATACGTATATCAGTAAAATAGTTTGAGTAATTTACGTGCAATTATTACTAAATAATAAGTTAGTACAATCAACAGACAATTGCTATGACAACTATTAATAACTAATAATATTTCATATCTGGGTTCACAAGTTCTGAAAAGATAAATCTGATATCTTACCCCTGTATTCGTATATTCAATGCCATAAAATATCACAATTTATTATATTTCATTCAGAATCTCTAGAAGCCTCATCAAAAGATTTGATAATAATGGGCATAGGAAATGGTATATGTGCCATAGGATAACTTCCATACTTACCCTGAAACAAAGGACATATTCTCCAGGACTGTATCCCACCCTCTGACATGAATTGTCCCAAAGCTACTTCAAGGTAGAACATTGGGATACCCCCTAGTAATACACATATGAAGTACGGCAAAAGGAACGCACCTACAAATAGAAAAACATCAAACATGTTTACATTCATTCTTTCCGTTTAACATAAATATATCTATTATAAATTGTCTGATTTTTTTCCATGTCAACAAAGTCTAGACCCACAGTTATTACTTGATTCCCCGACCCACCAACAAACAAACATTTCTACCATCCACGGTAATAATAATTCATAACAAGTAACAACACTTCCGAAGTAATAATGATTAGCTACATGCTGACATTGTAGCAATTTAGGAATTGTAAAAATGTAGTAAAAAAATCATTAAATCATTCGCTTGACTAATTTATGATAGACATAAACAGAATAGACAACATATCTTTTTTTAAATGACTATAATATTGCCTAGTTCTCTCCATCGCTCTTTAAAGAAAGTGTCTTATTTTCTGGTTTTTTTTCATAACAATTTGGAGTATTTAAACTACATCCCTGGTTATTCCATTTTTTGTATTTTCCACTATTCTATTTAACATTTTGAAACACAACCCTTGTGATATTCATTCCAGGCCAGATAACAATTTCAGCATCATTTCTGAAAAATGTTTTTTAAAAACACTATATGCGAGTAGAAATAATCTGGATTTTCATCAATAAAAATTGAAAATTCATTCAAAATAATATCATATTTGAAATCTATATGTAAAAAATTACTTCTAGAAATGTGGTTTAAAAAATGTTTATGAACTTTGAAAATCTATTTTCTTTGAAACCATGTTATGAAATCACAAAAAGTGAATTTATCTTTTCTTATATTTGACAGATCATACTTCCTTTTACTGGACATATTTTAATTTGTATAAACTAAGGGTAATGTGAAAATTGAAGTATTACCCTTTGCATTCGTTCGACTTCACTTCTTAAAAGAGTTTAACTAAACTCTGCACGTAGGGTATTGAACTATTAAAACTGATGAAAGTTCAAGTTTAAAGGAACTTTCTAATACCCTGCTGTTGTAATCCAAACCCCCACCTTTAAAAAGCATAGGAACTGCAAAAACCATGTACAGTGGCTAAAGGAAAGATTAATCCATCTGAGAGGCTCATATGGGGAAATATGTTTCTAATTTGTAACAGGCTTGCTTTACCTTACATCAATAACCTTGGCTGGGATAGAAACTATCATGAAGATTCAGTGAATTATTATAATGACTGAGTCAGACCAATATTAGCATCCCGGGATTATCATCAGGGAGGTTTCATCTGATTCTAATACTAACACATCTGCCGACTTGGAAAAACATCCTTTCAAAATGCCTGCTAGGAATTCAGTTCCGTGATGCCCCAAGATTTTAATCTAAATAATTGGAAATTATGTCTCAAAAGATTGTATCTGTACTCCATTTATAATATCAGTCTGTGGTATATGGTAAGATGAGGGAATTGCTTAAGTTTTCTATATCAAAAGTTGAGGCATTTGAGGCAACTCTCCTCTCACATGTATTTTCATGTTAGCCAAGTTTAATTTTACTTATGGTGAGCCAGAGCCACTCTTGTGTTAATGATTTAGTTGCGGCTTTTCTCTGTAGAGAAGTTATTATATATGATGAAAAAACATGATGTATCACCAGACAGAACCATGGGAAAACATGTGCGTAATGCATGCATCATATATGTATGATATATCGAGAGAGAATGACATGTGTGATTTAAGCTTTTATGTATCTATTTACCACTTTTGACCTTTGCCCTAACTTACTTTTTAACTAAAAAATAGAAATTGACTAAGAGTAAGAAATAAGGGGGGAATAAGCATTCACGAATTCAACTGCCAGCTGATGGCTAACAGTTTATGGCCAACTCCTTTAAATATGAATAGAATAGTGGCAGGTACTATTTATATTCCATGAGTTGACCATAAAGGAGTAGGTTAATCCATCAGGCTACAGTTGAATTTGTGAATTCCTAAAAGACCAGTAGCTATAAACATGTAAATCAATATATGTAGTTGAACAGTAATTCATGATATAATCCACTTATACACTGTTTGCCTTTAACATAACACCAAAACACAAGTGGCAAATATTAGGGTACAGTCGGGGCATAATGAGATGTAAAATACAACACCCCCTTTCAGTCAAATTTTCTACTAGTGCCTTACGGTAATGCCGGATTGTCGGCAGCGGCAGTAGATACTCTCAATTGCCGGTAATAAAATCCATTGCCGATAATCGCCATGCTGCTGCAACATGATGATTGGCATTGCGATCCATTGTCAAATTTACGAAACAATGTTCGTTTAAGAATACGAGAATATTTTATCAATCATGTATATTTCAATCTCCACATTTGAAGAGCTAATCTGTCAATCAACTGCAAAGCATTCGTAAAAGGCGGGAGGATAAGCAAAACCCCACCCACTTCTGTCAATCATCTCCCATGCCGCGAGATTAACAAATCACGTGACGTGATATTTCGGTGAAGTAAAAACAAACACAAATAGTTTGATCAATTTTGATCGAATTCACTCTATATTATCATTCAAAGACTTCCTAACAATACACAATCACACACGAGATACATGATGATACAATATATCCACTGTTGTTGATGTGAGCGGGAAATTAAGCTGAGAAATCGGCTACGTTAAGGATTTTTCCAAATATTTTAGTTTCACTTTCAGGTTTTTCCCCGGGATTTTAGGAACATTATCAGTATCAACGATTATCGGTAACGGTAAGGTAATGGAGTTGAAATTTACCGGCAGTGAGATCCATTACCGTTGCAAGCACTATTTTCTACTCTTCCTTTCAAGTGAAGAATTAACTAAAACATGCAAAAACATATGATATAAATATTGACAATTTCCTTTAAGTAAACACACAGGTATATGGATGAGCAAAATTTTGCAAGGGAGACTTGTGTATATGTGGTTTAGAGATAAGATCCAGACTTTCCTGAAACTTGTATGATTGACTCACAAGGAAAGTTAGGAAGGTTTTTCTTTATTTTCATTCAATAATCAAAAAACAAAGATGCAACTGTTAATTGCTCAAATGACACAGAAGTTTGCCTTAAATGACTTTTTTAGAACTTGTAAAATGAAATTTTAATATTGGGATATCCTTAACTATCTTCTGGTAAGTGTCTGCTCATGTTGTAGTAAGTAGTTGGAGATTTGGATTCTTACTAAAAATAACCTAACAACAATTCCAGATTAGTGTATTTCAAATTAAGGTTCTGTTCTATGTTAATTCCCTCAAAAAAGGAAAATCAAACATATTTATTTATTCTTCAAGTACATTCACACCCCTTGGGGTCAAGTACATGTACAAACAAAAATTATAACAATTATAAAGGAAGGAAAAAGAAGACATTTACATGTAAAATAAAAAAAACTATTAATGATGATGATGCACTGGTGCACTAGAGATATAGCTATTTATATAGATATACTATATCTCTGCCCGCTCAAGTATGGGATAAATCCTTTTAATTTATGAATGTAACCTATTGATGTGATATTCTATATATTTTTTGCAAGGGCAGCCAGGTGGATTATGAGATGAGAAAGATGAAATTGCTAAATCTGCAGGAGTGTCTAAAATAACTGGATGCATATATCTCATTCTTGGTGCAATTTTCTAGGTAGGGTCAAATAAGGATAAACCTGAGCAAAACAACTTTTTTGAGGATTGATATTTTCTAATATAAACTGAAAAGTTATCTTTCAAGTTTAAATCGAAATGAGTCAATTTGATTTTCAAGATCAGTCCTTTTTAGTCTGGACATCAACACATATAAAAAAAAGTGATGATCCCTATAAAACTTCTCATTAAAAACTTCAACAAAGAGAAAAATTACTATTGGCAAATTAGTTTAGTATATTGAAGTCTACCGACAAAAAAAGTGTGGACAATAGAATTAACAAGTTTATTCAATTGCGAGTCTAGATCGGTTCAAAACCAGCACTTTCTGGAGACAGATCATTAAACTGCCTCAAAATATGGTTTATGATAATTAAAACGATTTCTTACCTCCGCCATTTTTGTAACACAAGTACGGAAACCTCCAGACATTCCCAAGTCCAACGGAAAATCCAATACAAGCCAACAAGAAGTCAATCTTATTCGACCATGTTTCTCGTTTTGGTTTCCCAGTTGGGTCGCTCATCGTGGATGTTGTAGATGTGGTCGTATCATCTTGGAATTCTGACGGCAGAACCAACTTGCTGTCATTGGATAAATATTCCACTTCTTGCGCCTCGAGTGCTTCTTTCTCAGACATCATCCTGAAGGATTTATTGTTGATATCTAAAAAAAAATAGAATAAATAAATTCTTCAATGTTTATATTCTGAGCTCTTCAGTTTCTGTTTATCTTTCTTTTTTTATCAGTCAATGATTGGTGAGTATAACAACACAAGCAGTAGCTCTTCACAGTTTTATACCAGTCGAGAGGATGATATATCAAGAACTTCAAGAGTACTTCAAGTGATAAATACAGCTCTTCCTGTAGGGATACGTCACTCATACATATTTACATAATAAATGATAAACTTGTAAACAATAATAACAGCAGCGGAAGTGCAAAATATATGAATTGGTTTCTTGCCAAAACATAAAATGTCTGTATTAACACCCGATGCAGAAGGCCCTTGCGGAAAATGCTCAGTTTCAGATATCAAGTGCAGCGTGCAGAGTTAATCATCATTTTTGAATTCGACTTCAAATGATATATTTCATAAACTGTCGGGCCTAACTTCACCTGAGGGGCCTAACTGTTTACATGGGTAACCCAGTTCAGTAACATATTACATAAATCATTGACAAAGGTGAACTTAACCTACATATAACCTACTTCTACTAAATTTTAATCATAACAAAAATTATTTTTCTCAAAAAAGTCTTGAAGAGAGATAGGTGATACTACTGAGGTATACAAGGGAATGAGGGGGGGGGGTTTTACAAATACCTTCTTGAAAAGTAGGGGGAGTTTCAAATTGATGAATTAATTCATAAAAATTACTGTATAATATTTGTAACAATTGAAGGACTCAAAAAGAAAATTATAGCCCTTAAATACATAAATACAGACTGTAATCTTATAAATACTATTGGGTATCCAAGATGTATACTATTGACACAATTAAGCAAATATTGAGGTCTTAGTCCTATTTATATAAAATTCAATACACTATCAATGGAATAATCTTTCATTTCTAAATTGTATTATATTACAGTAATACTCAGTCTGTCACTACTTCTCAGAGACAAATCCCTCAGAAATGTTTCTCGCGAAGTGAATTAATTCGTTTGAAAGTTCTACTTTAACAAAGTGTCTGATATATTTAAAGGACCAACGGATGGACAGACACCTAGTCGATCCCATAGGCTCTCTGTTTGAGATAAGCAAAATTTGGGAGTTGGTTTCTAGACTAAAATACCTCATAGGGTAGTTGGGTAGTTGCCCATTGTGTTCATGGTTTAGTTGCTTGGTTAGGTTTCTATTAATATAGGATTGGGTATTTTGATTGATATTTTTAGATTACAGGTTTCTTGCTTCTTGATATCTTCTTTCTTTTAACATCACCTTACACAAGATGATGAAATACCCCAGAATTCCTAAATGGACCTATCTCTCTATAAAGAGGAGGAAAACCCCCAGAATACCTAGGTGAACCTAGGAAATATCCCAGAATTCCTAAATGGACCTATCTCTCTATAAAGAGGAGGAAAAACCCCAGAATACCTAGGTGAACCTAGGAAATAACCCAGAATTCCTAAATGGACCTATCTCCACATAAAGATGAATGATTCATCTATGAATTCTTGTGTATTCCCCTCTAACCTTCCACAAGTCTATATGAGGACAGCTGTCAGGTAATCTGTGTTGAATTTTTCATGTTTTCAATATTAGATATTGGTGCCCACCATTTAATTAGTACATAAAAGTAGAGACAAACAGGTGCTTTAGACTTTAACGACAGATCAGAGATTTAATATGCATATTGATATTTTTCCTGTTCCATGACTATAGACTATTAGTCACCCTGTTCCATGACTATAAGTCTTGGCAACGGATAAATGCAAAAGTATAGATTGCCAATTCTAGTCAGGTCTTATCTTATGGCCATAAAACTAAATGAAAACCTACAGTTTGGAACATAAATAAATGACGGGTGGATTTACTGAAGTGAGGATTTCCATGTTAAAAATAAGTGAATTTTCAAGAGGCCATACATCAGTGGATGAGATTATACAAAATTTAAAATATACAAATTTTAGGGGATATGTATCTACAGTGCTGATATATATTAATTGATCAGTCGTTTAATTGGCATATTTTCTTGAATTTTAACATTTAATGTCCCAAACTCCCACAAACTGCAGAAAAGTATACCCCATAAATCATATTTACCAAAATGAGTGTCTCCAAGGCTTCACACCAGTGTATGCATAATGCATTTGTCACGAGTTTGAGCTGAAATTTCGCCAAAATGAAGTAGGCTAAGGGTAGTCTCTGCCAGGTTTGTTTATTGTGGTAAGCTTGTAAGTGCTCAGAAGCAAATAATTCATGTGCGCAAAATAATCAAAAAATCTGATTGGTCTAAACTTTGCTGTACATGCGCACAATGTGTGCCATGTTTTTTCTAGTGATTTCGTTTCGTTTCATGGAGTTTGCGTTTCAGTGTAACTTCCCGCAAAAATGGCGGACCATGGACAGAATTAACAGGTAAATTCACTTCGAAATTTCAAGAGAACTTTTTACCTATAATAGCAAAACTTTTGTTTTATTTGTGCATTCTATCTATCAGATAAGAGTCTCGGGGGTATGTAGGCAAATTCATTTTGATAGGAGCACTCTGTTTAGTTTGAAAACGCACCCTTAATATCAGCACTGTAGACAATATTGGAAATTATGGGCTTTCAGACGACCATGGTTAGAAAAGGGTGATAGAAAATCCACCTGTCATTTATTTGACATTTTTTGAAGATTGGCTGAAATGGTCAGACTGAAGTCAGTCAGACAGACTTGTGTAGTCAACCCCCCCCCCTCCCCCCTATTGATACAAACAATGACACACAGGATTTTTCTAATAATGGCCTTGTAGGCCTAAAGCTTATGTCAAGATAACTTTCTAACTAGGACGCAGGCCTATAGTAGATATTCTAACAAAGTCTAAAAATGTGAACGTAATTATCAGTTGATTTATATATATGATATAGATCATTTAGATGTCAAAGCCACATGGACAACAGAATTTAGATATGTGGTAAAAAAACACAACAGCAATGTAAAATCAAAACTCTACTTACCCCTTGGTGATGTTAGGTGAATTGTTTTGTGTAGAAAAACGTGAAGTACAGCCTCTTGTTCTTTGTGCGACTCGCTGATGATTTTGCCAATAAATTATGTGGATAAATTATCCAGAACTCTTTTGCTTGATTTCTCATGGAATTTTCCCTTGTCTGTCTCCAATAACATGCTCGATGATAATTGCATTAGGGCTAAACCAATCATACTTAGGCGCGGGAAATGTGCCGGTTTTGAATTGACCAATGAAACTTAAGGACATATTGCGTGAAAGTCATAGGTCTAACCAGGTACTTGCAATGAAAACTGTTTCAGCAGCAGTCAGGTTTTATCCCGGGGATTTCATGTTGAGTATTTACAGCCAAATAATCGGATCCATATGAAAGAACAACATCAGTATACGAAAAGAGTAGGCCTAGCAATACAACGGTTTAATACGTAAGAATTAAGTAAAAAGAATAAAAATACTCAGAATATATGGGATGGGGGTGTGATGTCAAGCCATGAACTAAAAGTAAAACCAATTTACAAAATAAATGGGGTATCAATTTAGTCAATCATATCTCACCTTCCATAAGATATTTATGAAACATCTAAATTTAAAATGGAATATTTGTTGTCACTTGTCCACTGAGAAGCGGGCTGAGAAGTTAACAAGGGGTGGGGGGGGGGGCAAATTTCAAATCAGGAAAACGAGGAAAAGAATTTGGGCCCCTAAATCCCCAAATTTTGAAAATTTGAAACATTTCAAAAACACAATACCCTTGTATCAAACGAATGAAGTCACATTATGGAACACAAGAAAGTAATCCTAATAGGATCCTAAGACAATTATTACAAGATAATCTTTCAATGTAAACATTCTTCTTCTTCTTCTGTTTCTTCTAGGACTGAGACTGCAGGATTAAAATGTATTAAGATAGCATTTGTTATCTGTTCATTCGTCCATCTATGACTCTACAGTAGTTAATATTCCATTCGATAAGAACCCCCCACCTGGACGAAAATTCTTTCAAATCATCCCCTGGGGATTATGGTCCCCTTAAGCTTTCCTTACGGCTTTTCTAGCCCTGACTGTGTATAAATATTAAGGAAAATAATTGTAATTAGAGTCACCATATAAATCAATAGAGAGTAGGACCAAAATTTGACAGGACCACCTACCCTTTAAGTTTTACACCTGTAACAGATAAAACAAATCATCACGCCACATATATTATTCTCGTTATAATATTAGGCCTGTACAATTCTGATCAAATCAAAGTTAACATGTTGATCAAATACACAGTAACTTTATTCCCAATATGCTGCTATCTATAAAAATAAAAAACATTTATTTGAATATTTGTAAAACGTTTCTAAGCTTTCAGTAACAATTTAAGAGAGACATCTATAAATACAATTCATATCGTTAAAAACTTACACTGTTTTTCTTCATACTCACTTTAATTCCTAAAATCTGTGCTTCTGACTTGTGTTTAGTATAGTAAAGGAAAGAGCAGAACGTAACTAAAATACTGAATAAATAGAACATACACTCAGTACAACTTTAATTGTTAAAAAAAGTATACAAGCTTAAAATCAAAATACAAAATACATGTATCTTACAAAAATCAAAATTTTATGAAGTTACATAGTACTTAGCGACGATTCAACTATAAAAATGATTTAAAAGCCCTTCCTTCCAAGCTCCCCTCCACCAAAATTGCGCAAAACCATTTTGTAATAACACATATTTTACATTTTACAGTCAGGCATTATATTATATGTAGTATATAGTAGCCTAGTGTTAAATCATAAAATTATTACACTTTCTTGAATGTACTCAATAAATATTCTATTCTATATTATTTAATAACAGAACTATAAATATGCTATGAATATCAGTTTGCCTATAGACGCAAACTATTCACAAACAATGATATACAACTGAACATTAATTAATTGATGGTTATGTTTATGAATATGTCTGTTGATCAACTCATTCAACTGAGTTTAAAGATGCAACACCTGAGTCAATTGTGATTCTTTCTGGATCAGCACTTCCGCCCAACTTATCTTGTTCTTCAAGCTCAATACCATCTGCTGAATGGAGAATACCATCAACTAGACCTAAACTAGTTCTAATTGTCTTGGCCTCCTCTCTTTTAGTTTCTTTTATGGACCTGGAATGGAGGGTTGTTAAGGCATCATGACCAGTAGTAGAGTTTGGAAGGGGGCTCTTTTGACTAACTTATATAATGGTCATTATATCTCTTGTGATTCAGATCATAGATTCAGATGATGGGGTTATTTTCCTTGTAACTAGTAATCCCTTTGTTTTCTTATTGCGTTTCTATGCACATTTCTATGAAGCACATGGAGGGGGGATTAGAGGCCGATTGCAACATAAAGGTGCATACTATTATTATTCATTTTATGCAAAATTGTCTATCATTTCAAGGTACTGTACTACTGTAGTATCAGGTATATGTACGCACAGGTGCCAAAGGGAAAGGGCCACACATTGTTACAGAACCATGCAAGAAAAAGAAAACATCTAAGTGTACATCAGTCATAAGGAAAACAAACTTTCCCAAAGCATAATTGAACGTGTAAAGAGACAATAGCTAATACCCCCTCCTCCCATCATTCAAGTTACATTATCACCATAAAAAACATAAGACTCATCGAAGATCATTCATACAAAAATCATTACGAATATATGTTGAAGAATAAACATAAATTGAAATAAAATTGATAACCAATAACTCATAGTTATAGATACTAATCTGGTATTCATACAAGATAGGACAATGAACAAATATGATAGGGGGTGATAGGGCATACGACAAAGATGCAAACTATTATTATTCATTTTATGTGGAATCGTCTGTTATTTAAAGGGTCTGTAGTATCAGAAAGAGAGAGAGGATCTTTGATAATATGTCTCGTATTCAGTGTCTGTTTCATATTCCTTCTTATGTCTATCTTCTACTTAAAATAACTGGTATGCACTTAGAGTTTGCTTTTTCTTGCTAAGTTCCATTACAACTTTTGGTCCTTTCCCTTTGGTACTAGTGCTTATATATATATATTCTACTTAAAATAAAAAAAACTTCACATCCCCGGTTACAAGTGAAACTGGTAAATTTGCAATGTAAAGTAAAATTTGCAGGCCGGCAAGTTTTTCGATGGCAGCCATTTTGAGTGGGTTAGATATCAAGAAGAGAATGTTGTTTCAGCAGAAATTCATACAATATATTTCACACTCTATTATTGGTGAAACGTTTTAAATTCACTAAAGTTAAACGTTAAATATGTACAACCATAATTTCCCAAGCATAATTTCTGGATACTCAAAAATATTTCTGGATACCGTCACAAATTCAAAGATAGGATAATATCCAGAGACTTTTTATCATTCGAGAGTACTCTGTGAATCACATCACTTTGAAAAGCATAAACGTCTCCTCAAATGTTGTCTTCTTCTATATCTCTTATTCTAAATTGAAGTAACAACTTGCTATTGAAGTTGGCAGTGCAAATCAAGTTGCCATGGCGAATGTGGAAACACAAAGAGACAGAAAAAGTAACTAAACTGCATAAAACATGGTATTGTCGTCATTATCTAGTAGCCCCATGTGACAAAACAATGTCATGATTCTTTAATATTTGAAACATCATTACCCTAAACCTCCATTGGCATCTTCAAAGTTACAACCATTTGGCTTAGCTTTTTCAAATCCTGGCCATGGTTTTGGTGTTATATCAAGACGTAGAATGTCCGGTAGAATGGTGCTTTAACAACATGATAAAGATTATAAAACTTATAATAAAGCATACAGTGTCAAACACAAAACAATATTTCCAATCAAAGTATAATTACATGTATGTACTACAACAATGGTATGAGTGTCGATAACTCATTGAAGCAGTGTGAAACATGCATGCTTCTAGATTTCATCTTTTTTCACATCTTACTTATATTCAGATGTCACAGATAACAATATAGTAGTGGGTGCTAATATTTCTAAAATCGAAGACCTACCATGGCCATGAACAGGACATGTGGCGTTTCCTGTAGTTTGTACTGGGTGGTGCTGTGATGTTACATGTGGCCGCGTTTCTGTAAAATTTGAACAAACACATGTAATGACAGTCTCTTGTGGTTAAGTTTGCAAACAATCCAATAAACACAAAATAGTATGATTATTTTAAGATTCAAGAATTTGTATTACAACCCACAACACATACTCAAGCATAACACGTTTTTATATGCCCATAAAACAACAATACAAACATCAGGGTCATATTTGTCCATCAAGATACATGTATACAGGTACTATGACAATGTGAATTAAAATACTATCTGTAATCAAAGAGACAGAGATGGGTATTAACTTTTGAAACAACCAGTCAGATTTTCTTGTTTGTGATACATTTGTTGAATAAATACATACTCTTTGCCTTTTTTACAAGAGACTACATTAGCTGCATCATTTCTTTCTGCTGGAGCACATATATTCTTCAGATAACTGCTACAATGGCGGCTCATAATTGGGTTTTCTTCATGAACATCGATATTAGAGTTGTGCACTTCCATATCTGAGTGTTTCTTCGGTGTTGGTGGTGTGCATAATTTACAAGAATCACTACTTGTCGTCCTTTTGTCATTTTGGAATAAATTATTAGATGCAGAGGCCATTTCTGGAATCCCAAGATGAGAATAAGCAAAAGTTCTCAAGTGCTGCTTTTGTAGATGATGTCTTGAAGATTCGGAGGATGACAGATGAAAAGGTTGCAGTTTCTCTCGAGAAAATAGATATCTTATCTGTGATTCTTTTCAGTGTATATAATATGTACCATTATAATTTTCTATCTAATTATTACATCAGGCCCGTAAGACACTTTTCTCCAAGGGGGGTGCGGTTTTTAGCTTACTAAAGAGAATATAAAATTGTCATTTTTTTGCCGCTTAAATCAAGAGGGGGGAGGGGGGGTCAGTTACTCCCTATATTGGTTTGGAATTAACAAATGCATGCAACGTCCAATTGTTTTGTGGGGGGGGGGAGGAGTGGTCCACTCCCCCTAGAAAATTTTACAGTTTTGAGATGCTATTTTGTGCGTTCTGGGCACTTTCAAAGTGTGAGTTTCTAAGAAGTACGCCACAACCACGGGAATAAGAGTTGAGTGAATAAAAAACCGAGCATTTAGGGGGGTCTGGGTCTGGGGTCTGAAAATTTTGAAATTTGGTTGTATTTTGAGCGAATTTGCAACCATCTGGTACGCCTGTGCGTTATGAGTCAATAAGAAAAATGTGTTTTTTTCAAATTCTTTTGGGGGTGTCAAAGAGGATGAGAGGGTGAAGTGGGGTGGGGTGCCAGTAGGGGAGCAAGGGGTTGTCCCCCAGAAACATTGACCATATCAAGGTGCTTTTTGATGATTTCTGGGCACTTAAAAATGTCTGAGACAATACATAAAATTCAGAATATTTTCTTTTGTTTTGTGGGGGATGTGAGGGGTGGCTAACTCTCCTAGAAAATTTTACAATTTAAAGATGATATTTGGTGCTTCTGGGCACTTTTAAAGTGTATTAGTCAATAAAAACATTGAAAAACAATCACAATTTTTTTCAAATTTTGGGGGTGTCAAAGGGGGGAGGGGTGCCAGAGGGGTAGGTGGGGCTGGGGTGCCAGAGGGGGAGCAAGTGTTTCTCCCCATATCAAAATTGTGCTATTCGATGAAGTTTGGGCACTTTAAAAGTGTCTGTGCCTAAAAGTGCCTATTTCCCAAGAAAATTTTACAATTTTAAGATGCTATTTGGTGCTTTCTGGGCACTTTCAAAGGGTATGAGTCAATAAAAAAATCTCAATTTTTTTTTTGGGGGGGGGGGGGGGGGGGTGTTAAGGGAGGGGGATGCCAGAGGGGGAGGGGGAGTGGGGATGCCAGAGGGCGAGTAAGTGTTAGTCTTCCAGAATCATTAACTTTATCAAGGAGCTATTTGATGATGTCTGGGCAATTTAAAAGTGTCTGAGACAATACATAAAACAAATTCAGAACTTTTCCATTGTTTTTTTTGGGGGGGGGTCAAGGGGGGGCGCCAGAGGGGGGGGGGGGGTTATGCAAGTGCAAGATGCAAGAGGGGGAGTAAGTCCCCCAGAAACACGAACTATATCAAGGAGCTATTTGATGATATCTGGGCACTTTTTAAAAGTGTCTGAGGCAAAACTCTAAAATAAATTTAAAACTTTTCCATTGTTTTGTGGGGGTGTGAGGGGTGGCCAATACCCCTAAAAAAATTTACAATTTTAAGATGCTATTTGGGGCTTTCTGGGCACTTTCAAAGTGTATGAGTCAATGAAAAAACAATTACAAAAAAATATTTTTCAAAGAAAAAATTTTTTTCAAAGTTTTTTTTTTTCAAATTTATTTTGGGGGGTGACAAAGGGGGGTGTGGTCGCACCCATCGCACCCCCCCCCCCCCCCATCTGACGGCCCTGTACATTACATCATATTTTGAAAAGTTTATACCTGAGCTGATGATGTCCCCAAATGTGCCTTAGCTGCTTTTCACCACGCTGGGATTTCCAATCAGATCAATCCAAATTTCAGTCTAAAAATCCATCTTTTCAAAGGAATGTTAACTGGTCTTAATCGCTCTTAGTCTACCTTTCATTGTATATAATACGTCCCAAACTTTTTTCCTTGGCTATGACAGTCGTTTAATGAAATGAACAATCAGTTTACAGTCATTCAAATTGAGTCGTTCACATAGCTTAAGGATTATCTAAGGGGATCCCCCAAATGTTATACTCTTAGATTCCGGGATTCCCCAGAGGGAAAGACTTGGAATTTGATTGTCTTTTGATGAAAATCACCTGATCTAGAAATCAGATGATCATATCTTTTAAGTCCAAGTTATATATTCCGAGTCTGAGTTGTCTTATTGGCTGGCTAAACACCGATAAGGAATATAAAAATTATTAAAGGCAGTTTCACGGCTTGATCACTCACAACAGTTAGCACCGTCTTTTCAAGTGCAGTGGCCATCAGAATATGTTCGGCAATCCACTCAGAGTCGTCTGTTGTTTTAGAAATTCTAACTCGGTATTCATGTCATCTTGCGCAGGTTTAAATAGTCACAAATGATGCATAGACATGTACGTAGTGGGTATCCGTGTTTAGAAAGCCATGAAAACCTTTATCGAGTGCATTGTGGGCATCAGTTTGGATTATTTAGCGCGCCCCAACGTGTGCAGACCTGTGCATTTCCCTCCTTGTGTATTTTACCATTGGCATATATTCACTTTACCAATCGGGCTGTTTTGTACCAGGATTTTTTGTCCCACAAGCCATGATAATACAGTTAAAACAATTACGCTTATTCGATCTCATGCAAAAGACGGGGCAGAAGACTAGTTCATGTTACTTCCTGCGAAAGCTATTTGGATTTTGATATAATAGCTTTCCCACGGAGCATTTGGACAGCTCAATGATCGTGACCTTTGAAATCGAATTAAGTCGATCCGCGGCTTACTTTTGGTCTCTAACTGTGTCTTACATCAGCATCATCAATCCGTGTAAGTATTGGAGCGCTGGAGTACTTCTTTTTCGATCAAGACTTGTAATTGTTAGTCGAGGGAATCGTTTTACTGCCAAATTCCAATATGGCGGTTTCTGCTCGGACATTTTCGTAAATCTCCGGAGGTTGTCCGAACCTAACTAATTCTCAAAATTCATTTCGTTCGTTGCGTATCTCGCACCTAGCAAACCGCCATATTGGAAATAGGTCTGTAAAACTTTAACTCGATGAACAATTTACAAGTCTTGATCGAAAAAGAAGTACTCCAGCGCTCCAATACTTACACGGATTGATGATACTGATGTAAGACACAGTTAGAGACCAAAAGTAAGCCGCGGATCGACTTAATTCAATTTCAAAGGTCACTATTGATCAGCTGTTCACTTCTCCGTTTGAGAGCCATAAGTTTCAAAATCTAACATGGCTCTCGAAGTGAGTAAAGTTCATGTAGTTGTAAAATGCAAATTATTTCTTGGATTTTGATGTTTGGGGAAACCGAAAGTAAACGGGGAATTCCCATTTTTACGCATGCGCATTCTGCTCACGTGACATTAAAAATGGAGGAAGTAGACAAAATTATTGTCCACACTCTAAAAGGCATTGGATGGTAAGTGCATAGTGAATCTTATCCAATTCCCTTGCTTAAACAAATGCATCATAATTCATTCTACTTATGAAACTTAATTGGCTTGTGTAAATGGTCTAATTTTCCGTTAATAGATCTACCGTTTATCGTAAAATTTTCCATGAATTTTTTACACCCCCTGTTGCACATGCTATCCGGCTATTTATTGCAAGACTTATACCTGCCACAACCGTCACCATGTTTACTGTCAAAAATGGGGACTTTTTGGTCATAAATGGGCCTTTTAATGCCTTATTTTTTAATTTCAGGTCTGTTTGTTTGTTTATGTCCATCTGTAATAGGTGCTTTGATGCCACCTTTGTTTAGTCTCTGGTGCTTGTTTTCCACACTGTGCTATCACTTGTAAGTTTTACACTGATGGTTTGTAGTTACTTCGGTCCAAAGCCTTCTCTATATTCCGGCTTTGAGGAGGAAGATTGAGCTGCCTTAGTATTATAAATATTGTAAATCATTGTGTCACACGCACAGTAAATATGGCATAATAATATGAAATATACCTTTATGTATAGATTTGAAGAACATCAGCTCACATCCCCGTCTGAATCTATTGTTATATTTGATTTCTTTAAGCGAGAATAATTTCAAATGTTATTCACGTCCAGAACCGGAAGCCATTTTTAGCTACAGCGAGAAAATTTCACCATGTGTCAAAACTCCGAAATGAAATTTTGAAATATCTAAATCCAGACAAGCAACGCTTCATCCTAAATATGATTAATATTCTTAAAAATATTTATAAAATTTATTAAAAATGAGTTCTAGGTGCGTGTAGGTGCGTGTAGCACAGTACATACGAAATCAATGAAGTTTCGTCTAGCTGTAAGCTAGAGACTCGAGTAAGTTTGTAGAAGTCTCTTTTTTTTTTTTTTTTTTACTTAAAATCCTTATCTAGTTGAACTAACATATGTGTTTTTAAAATTTTAAAATCTTTTGCTCTTTATGATAAAAGTTCTGAATAGATCGTTCAGTTTCCTGTTGATTTTGTTGGGGAGTTTTTGATTTTCTCCGGCCAGGGTTTTCAAGTCTAGTGTGTATATAATTTCACACTCAAGTAAGATACAGACTGCATCGTGAAGCACTTTCTCCCGTAATTCTTGGAGTTTATTGCATTTGAATAAATAGTGATCTATTGTTTCTGGTTTGTTGCAGTCTAGGCATAAGTTGGTGTCGTGGATTGGGTTAATTTTCTTGATATGGCTGTTTAATCTGGTATGTCCACTCAAAAGTTGGTTAGTGATGCAGAAGGTTTTTCTGTTCGATTCACCTAGTAGGGTTCTTGTCCCGACAGAATCAATAGACCTCTGGATGTATCCAACTTTTTTCGAGTTGTTATACTGCCTTTGCCACTTTGATTTTGATGATGTGTGTATTTGTTTATATATTTCACTTTTAGTAACTATTCTGCTATCTTGACTTAGTGCCTTAGCATTTAGTGCCGCCTGCTTGGCATGTTTGTCAGCCAGCTCGTTTCCTTTGATATCAAGGTGTCCTGGTACCCAGTAATAGTTAACCTTGATACCCTTTTGAGTGAGATTTTTACATGTATTTCTGATCTTGTTGATGGATTCAATTTGATTTTTGGGTATACAGGTCTCAAACGCAGAAATTAGAGCGGGCTGACAGTCGCCAAAAAGTAGTATATCCCTACACAGTGGTGTTTTATCAACGTATGTGAGGGCGAGCTCTATTGCTCTGACTTCTCCTATGTAATTGTTGCTAGAGCAGCTTATGGGACTTTCTAAGCAGATTGGTTCCCCTCTGAGGCCTTGCAAATATACAATGGCAGCTGCTCCTGTAGGGCCTGGGTTTCCTAGTGCAGAGCCGTCTGTGAACACTACAGTTGTATTGTCAGGGCAATTGTTAATTATGTCTGCTATTTTGAGAATGGGCCTCAAATTATTTCAAAAAAAAATTCCGCTTGTTTCCGAAGTTTTTTTCTCTGACCTGACATTTGGGCTCCCTTGTTGGTTTCCAGATCCGCCCCTTATGTTATTAAGTATTTTTAAGTTTCGCAAGGATCCTGCCATGACAGTGGTAGTGTTATTGTGAAAGCCTGGTATAAACGTGACAATGTTATATTATATTGCAAGGCCTGTCATGACCATGGTAATGTTAAGGTGCAGGGGTACTTAACAGGAAATGACAAAACAGGAAGTGACAAAAAATGTGGCATTTTTAGACATTTTTTGAACAAAGATAACAGAGTTCTGTTTTGACCTTCAGTCAATTCAAATAGTTCCACATATCATTTACAAGACCAGGATCACAATGTCCATGGTCAGAATGACCATAAACGTGATGAAATAACTTTTTCGCCCACCAATAGATGTCAGGTTCCTGTGTTAATTTTGAAGTGTGTTTTTATTGTTCTTTTTGCAGTGATGTGGAAGATGTGCAATCCTTGGTACAATTCAGCACTGAGCTGATCATAGAGGCGACAGTCAGGTGTCTCAAGATGATTGATCCCCAAACAGATTTGCCAATGACACTTCCCCCTGCCATGGCAGCAAGATTCCGCCTTGGTACAAGCCTTGCATCAGCAATCACAGTAAGACATATTTAATTTTCTGAGCTCCAGACATTTGTTCAGGTTATAATGAAATTACTGTTTTCATGCCACATTTCAGAAGATTTTGGTCTAACTCACCATGCAGTACATAGTACTCTATACATGTACACCATGTACATGTACCACAATGTGGAGAAAATTTTCAAATTGTGGTATTAAGTGTCCTATATTGAACGTACTGGAGTGAGTTTACTATCATAGCATATTAGGCTTACATGTAAGTAAATGCAAGTGACTTGTCTGTCATTCCCTAGAATGAACATTCTCTTAATGCATCCCTGTTGTCTTTATTTTCAGGAGCTTGGCTACAAGGGTGAGTTAGGCTACCAGACATTCCTGTATTCCAACGAAGCGGACATTAGACGCGTCTTAATGTTCCTAATAGAGAAACTGCCAAGAGGTTCTGAGGAAAGCACTGAGGAAATTCTGGGTATGATTTTGCTTTTGAACCTCCAGTGATTAACATTGTTTAATGTTGATATTGAAAATATCAACTGATCTTTATTGAGTATGTTTTTTTATTCAAGTACCATAATCACAATCCAAGACTGTAAAGGTTCTTATTGTTGAAGTGATCACTATCCATTCCTAAAATGTTGACTTAGAGAAGAAATTTCAGAAATGTTGCTTGAGGGATTTAGAGTGGAGTAATGATGGTTATTAATTTCCTATTGTCGTTCCAAGAATTTGTTCCAAGGTTCAGTATATGGTAGGTTCCTATCTAGGCTTATTGGCAGTCAACCTCTCTATTAATTGTCTGAATGCTTCAGATAGCCTGAACCACATCAATTTTACATGTAAATTATTGTAGGCTCACATTTTGAGCACATGGACCTACCCTCTCATTATAATTATTATTCATATAGTGAATAACGTTAGATTTGCCCTTTTTTATAGGTGGCTCTGCAGTGCTGTATCGATCCATAGCGTCTGAATTAAGCAAGCGTCTCTCAAGTCCATGGACTCCTCCTCAATGCAAGAATAAGGGAGTTGTTTGGCGAGGAAGTCCCCCTACTTGGCATAGAGAGGTATCTTGGAGTATCTGTTTTTATGTGTGGAACATGCTTCTTGAATGGGGGTCATTCAACTTGTGATTTCTATATTTTACTAACTGCATTAAATATGAAGTATATGAAGTAAAATGATTGTCAGATTTCCTTATAAATGATTTTTTTTTAATTTTTATTTTCTTGTAATACTTCATTGTTTCATGTTTTATTCCATTAGGGTTGTTCCTCTGTGAGAGCATTCAGATCTGCTCACCTGTCTTCCCCTCATGGTCTTGGAGACCTCACCAAGAAAATACCCAAAGGTAAAAAATTAATTGCGATGGGAAAGGCAAACGATTGAAGGTGTGTGTCAGAGACACACGTAAAATCATTGTAGTCTTTGTGAATATGTTCATAACTGAACCTTACAGTAGTTGTTAGATGTTACTCTCAAAACCTTTTCCCACTCATTCTAAATGTTAGTTTGTAAATAGCCATTAGTTATTTTGTCAGCATGTTTCAGTTGTATTTGCAGCAATTTTTCCATAAACGCATATCCAATTTAAATTTATTTCTATTTCTACTGTTCTTAACATTGAAAAAAAACTTAAAGATTGTTCTATTTACATCTTTTCAGATGTTAAAACATACTACACAAAACACATGCCATATATTTTAACCCAGCCTGTACATCGAGATGACCTTGCAGCGTCCATCTTGGAAAACAACGCCACCTATCTGACAGCACAACATGAATGGGATCAGGAGTGGAATCAGCTTGGTCTTGCCTCAAGGTTAACGAAGGAGGTTTGTGAATGATTACTTTTTCTAAAGGTGTGTCAGATGACCCGTAGCTGCTGCTTTGTCTTATAATAGTGTAATTCCCACACTTCCTTGTTTTGGGACATTGCTTGCTCGTATATTTTAAAATAATTGCAGTTGTTTGTTTTAGGCATCTCTGCCTTCTTTTAACTTTTCAAGCTTGTGTTCAGTTCAAGTGTGTATGGCTGTTTTGCATGTGGCGTTTAGATGTATGGGGCAGATCTCCAATTCTTCTACTTATAGCTATAATTCTCATCTCTGAATAACCTCAAAATATAAAATTCATAATATGTAACATACTCAATTATTAGACATTGACACAAATCTCGGATTCTGAAATTATTGAAAAAAGAGAATGGGACCATGCAAGATGGGCAACCAGAAATATTTTTTTGCAATTAGCAATTAATTAAGCTTCGAAATGCTATACTTTGCTTCTTTATTCCAGGAGTATTTAGCGAAAAAACGAGACCGACTTCAAAAACGAATCAAGGACAATATCAAAGAATCTGTGAAATTAAAAGAAAATGCACAGAAAACTCCTCAAGACTTGAATGATATCATTAACAGCATTAGTGAAAGGTCAGGACTGCAGGGCAAAACTAAAGGCTCAAGGTTTACTCATGCAGAAAAATTACAATTTACACAGGTATGTATGAGTCATTTTATAAAAACAGAAACTTGAAAGAAAATGCATTTTTATAAGTCCTCTCTACCATTTGCTTATACCAGGTCGATCAATAAGTTCTGAGAAAAAGGCTCTTGAATTTAGTGTTTTTTGACTTTCTAATTTAAATTTTTAAAGGGAATGTAAAACAATGGCACATATCAATATTCCAAGTTTAATTGAGTATCCGTCTATTTAGAGAAAAATATGGCTACTTTGGTAATTTGTATGTTCTGAAATTATTTCGTTTTCATTTAAAGCAACACAATTGAGAATATTTGTTTGCTCTATATGTGCATTATGCATAAAATGTGTTCATAATGCTATATCAAATTGTTAAATAAAAGGGAATCTAAATGGATTAAATGGGAGATTACAAAATTTGGACTGAAAGAAGCGTGCATATTGAGATTTGGTTAAATAAGAAAGGTATTTGGATATACAGGTTTTACTGTATTCAGAAACATATACGAGCAAACCAGCTTTAGATCTTAGATACACACAAAGTGACGAGCTTACAGAAAAAGCCATTGTGACATATTCTCTTGTTCTAGGATGTCCCAGGCAGCCAAATGACTGTTGACCCTACTGCTAACACTGAAGAGGAATTGAAGGCTAAACGTGAGGAAGAGATTGAGAAACTTCAAGAACAACTCGAAAGGATTGCCACTGATTTTGAGAATTTAGATATTGAGATAAGAAAGTTTACAGCAAGCAGTCAACAGGTGAGCTTGATAAAGTACTTACATGTATTAAGTATACTTAAAGGGAGTGGTGGGTATTGTCCAAATGTACACATTTTAATGTATACTTAACTAACTATAATATGGTCCAAAACAGTTACTTTTTGTGAGAGGGAAGGGGTACATGTAGATGACAAGGAATGATAATTTTTTGGAAAGTTTAATTTACACCATCCATACGATAAAAAATGTATCAGGCTGCATTAATAAATATCATTGAGTCTGCTGCAGTGTGTTGCCAAACATGTACAGCCCAAATAAAAATCATTTGGTCACAATTTATAATAAAAACTATTTTAATGCCAACACTTCCAACATTTCAATATCAACCTTTACAATTCTTTGTTGGCAACAATTTACAATATTTCATTGTCAACTTTTTATAGAAGTACCACCAACATTTTACATTACTTTGTTGTGATTATTTTACAATGTTTCATTGCACACCCTTTACAATACTAAGTCATTGTCAAAATTGTACAATATTCCAATTACAACCTTTTACAATATCTCATTGTCAACATTTTACAATATTCCAATCACAACCTTTTACAATGTCTCATTGTCAACAATTTACAATATTCCAATCACAACCTTTTACAATATCTCATTGTCAACAATTTACAATATTCCAATCACAACCTTTTACAATATCTCATTGTCAACATTTTGCAATATTCCAATCGCAACCTTTTACAATATCTCATTGTCAACAATTTACAATATTCCAATCACAACCCTTTACAATGTCTCATTGTCAACAATTTACAATATTCCAATCACAACCTTTTACAATATCTCATTGTCAACAATTTACAATATTCCAATCACAACCTTTTACAATATCTCATTGTCAACAATTTACCATATTCCAATCACAACCTTTTACAATATCTCATTGTCAACAATTTACAATATTCCAATCACAATCTTTTACAATATCTCATTGTCAACAATTTACAATATTCCAATCGCAACCTTTTACAATATCTCATTGTCAACATTTTGCAATGTTCCAATCACAACCTTTTACAATATCTCATTGTCAACATTTTACAATATTCCAATCACAACCTTTTACAATATCTCATTGTCAACAATTTACAATATTCCAATCACAACCTTTTACAATGTCTCATTGTCAACAATTTACAATATTCCAATCACAACCTTTTACAATATCTCATTGTCAACAATTTACAATATTCCAATCACAACCTTTTACAATATCTCATTGTCAACATTTTGCAATATTCCAATCACAACCTTTTACAATATCTCATTGTCAAGATTTTACAATATTCCAATCACAACCTTTTACAATATCTCATTGTCAACATTTTACAATATTCTATTCCCACCATTTCTTAGATGGAAGAGATCATCGCAACTGAGGCCACCAAGAACAAAGAGAAAGAAACTGTATATAAAGTGAAGAAAAGAACACTGGACCTTTTACCTGATGCTGATAATAACATAGCAAAATTACAGGTGAGCTTAAGTATAATAAATGTTGTACAACAGTAAAACCTGTTTAAGTGTGGAACACTTTTGGTACCCCTCTCAAGTTTACCACTTTGGAGGTGTTACACTGATAGAGGTTATTTAACATTAAGTCAGTTGGTCTTGGAACTCTGAAGTGTTCCACTTCTAGAGGTGTTCAACTTCTAGAGGTGTTCCACTTTACAGGGTTCACTGTTATTAAATAGATTAAAATTCCTCAATTCACTAACCTTTTATAGCATTTCTATCTAGCTTTCGACAACTCCTGTTGCCTTTCTCAAGATGTCTGAATTTGGCGGGAAACTGGTAGATTTGACCTTGACTTGATCTTTGACCTAGCAACCTCAAGTAGACTCGGGGAAACCTTATATCCTAAGTCTCTGTTAAGTTCAGGTTTATATTTATGAATATGTATCGCTTCCTTTATCTTTCGATCAAAGTATTTAGACTCTGAGTCAATAATTCTATAATCCCAGTTTATCTTATGCGCTTCATCAAATGAATGTTGAGCGATTGCTGACTTGTCTGGGTTAATTCTTAAGGCGTCTCTGTGTTCTTTTATTCTCATTCCTATGGCTCTCCCTGTCTCTCCTATATACTTCTTATCACAATCAGAGCACTGGATTTCATATCGAAAGCTAGATAGTAATGCTATAAAAGGTTAGTGAATTGAGGAATTTTAATCTATTTAATCATACACCTAACCAATGAACAATTTCGGATATATTCACTGTTATTATTATAACATGTTCTATACGTATAAAGCAGTTGAAATTCTGATTGCCACTTGAGTGAAAAGGTGTCCCAATTCAGATTTTGAAAGTTTTATGTCACTCATGATAGCCTGGTACATGTATTGGTAAAAAGAATGCATTGGTTCTCAAATAGTTTGATAAAGATATGTGTTTACTTTTGTGTTTAATGTGTATTGAACAATTCTAGAGAAGTGTGTAAAAATATGTAATACTGTATTTAATTCGATGACAATGATCTTTATAACAAAATTGTCTGTTTTAAAGAAAGGTTTTTGCTAGTAATGTAACATGCATATCATTTTGTAATTAATAATTTATTTACGATGTTGTAGTCAGTGGTGGACACAAGTGCTCAGCGATTGGTCAGTTTAGCCAACCAATGGGAGAAACATCGGGTTCCTCTAGTGGAGAAATATCGGGAGATGAAAGCACTTAATGAAAATAGAGAGGTAAAGTGATTTATAACAAAAGTGGTGACACATTGTTATGGTGTCCAACTATTGTTTGGCAGTTGGTGGTCGGCATGCTGCATCTATAACAATTTGCAATAACTTACAATGTTAATGATACAATGTTATTGCCTTAAGCCCGGTATACACCAATGGGGCAAGTTGGGGCCACCATAGACTTAACATTGCGTGGGACCTCGTGGGACCTTTTGGGATCTTGCCCCATGAAGTCCGTGGGACTCCATGGGACCTCTTGGGATTTTGCCCCATCTTGCCCCATCGAGTCCCACGAGGTCCCATGAGGTCCCATGAAGTCCCACGTGGGACTCGATGGGGCAAGATGGGGCAAAATCCCACGGAGTCCCATGGAGTCCCATCGAGAATGAACATGTTCATTCTTTCCATGGGGCATCGAGGGATTTTCGCTCATATGACGTGTTGTGTGAAGCCCGACATACACCAATGGGGCACGGTGGGATTTGATGGGACTCCATGGGGCTTGATGGGACTCCATGTGGCACGATGGGGCAAAGTCATCAAGGTCCCATGGGACTTCGTGGGATTCGATGGGGCAAATTGGGATTCGATGGGGCAAGATGGGACTCGATGGGGCAAGTGGGATTTTGCCCCATTGGTGTATACCGGGCTTTATATAGTCTTATTTTATGAAACTCATTGTACTAATAAGTATAAAACGACCTCATTTCAAACATTGCAAATTCAATGTGGAGGAGGAGGGTCCATTGAAGTCCCTGAGTCTCGTGTGCATAATCTCGAGGGATGTTTTGACGAGGCCTTTGATAATTTGGTTGTTTTACAATTACATAGAGAATGATTTGAATTGTAGTCTGAAGCTGAGAAAAAGTTGGAAGAAATTAAAGCATTTAGAGAAAAGATGAAAGATGTCGCTGCTGATGCCAGAACTAAAGAAGATATTTATAAACAATTGGTAAGGGAATATGGCAATTTTTGATAAAAGTAAAAACGAATCTTGGGTTGACTCCCTCCCCCTTAAAAAATAAGATATGGTCTGTTGTAAATTTACAATAACTCTCCAGTTTCTTTTCTAATAGGTTTTAATATTTTTCAAACATTTACTCTGTAATTTATTGATTTATTTTTTTTCAATTCAAAGGTTACAGAGTATGAACGTATGACAAAGGATGTGAATAGGTCAGCGTACACTAGGAGGATCATGGAAATCGTCTCCAATATAAAAAAGCAGAAACAAGAAATTGATAAGGTAAACTTTAATACATATAAATCTATATTAGGTCATATGATAGGTAGCACCTGACATTTAGGTTACAAAAATATTGTTGTTTCCTGGTAATGCTGCATAGGTTCTCTAAGAGTAGACTTGAAATGCCTTTGATTTCCAGTAAAGAAATAGTAGAAGCCTCAATATGAATTAAAGAAAGAGTAGAAGCCTCAATATGAATTAAAGAAAAAGTAGAAGCCTCAATATGAATTATTAAATTAAAATTAGGGCCAGATGAGCTTGAAGCAGAGACTAGTTTTGTCACCACTAGAAACTTTGTTGTGGACCGTGTTGGTTGGTTGATGCTCGATGATTAGTGTTTGGTGTCTAACAAATGGCAGGTGGTGAGGTTTTACATGTTAATGCCCTGTATAACTATTGAACTTTAAGTCTAAGTTATGTATTTATTCTATTTATGTTAATTTCCTTTTTTTAGATTTTGATTGATACAAAAAGTATTCAGAAAGACATCAACCAATTATCTGGCAAACTAGACAGAACATTTACTGTGACAGATGAACTTATATTCAGAGTAAGTTTCTACATTTATGTCATTAAAAATACAAAACATTGAAATGGAGGGAAAAGATAATGTACTTTGATATATACAGTATACAGGGGTTAAGCTAAGGATCTGAGAGTACCTTGTCAAAATGGCATAACGGGACAGTTGCTGTCAGTTGCCATATTATTTTCCTATATCTAGTGACAAAATCAACTTGTCCGTTTCACCATACACCAGCAATGACTGGTGGACCTGTCCTAAGCTCATACCTTGTGAATATACTTTATACATGTAGGGGTAGGTTCATGCATGGTATAATATGTGGTTCATATCATATATTGTTTCATTTCAGGATGCCAAGAAAGATGAGGCAGTAAGAAAGGCCTACAAGTATCTTGCAGCATTACATGAGGTAGGAATACTATTCCAGGACTATCAGGCCCATAACCAGCTTTTGCCAAGGGGTTCAAAAAAATTCCAAGGGGGTTCACATTTGACAACATTTGCCCAAAACCTGGGCCCAAAATCACCCGAAAAGTGCTCAGAATGGTGAAAAACTGCATTATTTTGAAAGAATTTTGGGCCAGGAGAGGGTACAAGCCTGACTATGTCAAGCCTGACTATGTACAATCCAAATGTTACATTAAAACTTCTGACAACAATGTTTATTATCCCATCGAACGAAGTTCGGAGGGATATAGGGAACGCCTCCGTCCGTCCGTACGTACGTCCGTTCGTCTGTCCATCCGTCCGTCCGTCCGTCCATCCATCCGTCCCGGCAATAACTCAAATACTCAAATACCGTATTTTGTACACATATACCCTAGGGGGTAGAAGTTCTGCTCGAAAGCCAATTTTCAAAATGGCCGCTAATTTCAAAATGGCGGCCATTTTAGGGCCGATTTTACAGTAATTTAGGTGCAATATGTAAACTGTAATAGCAATATGTTTTAAATGTAAAAAGATTATAAAGGACATTAATAAAGCTACAATGTAGATATTAAAAAAGCACATGGCAGCCATCTTGAAAAATGGCGGCCTTTACTCCTTATCTTACGATTTTTGCTGTAACTCGAAAAGTAGTGGAGCGATTTTGTTCATATTTGGTATGTGAATACTATAAACATTGCACACTGTCTAAAGACACTTTTGGTAGAAGGCGGCCATTTTGAAAAATGGCTGCCATTTTAACATATTTTACTATAACTCGAAAAGTAGTGGAGCGATTTTGTTCATATTTGGTATGTGAATACTATAAGCATGGCACACTGTCCTATGACACTTTTGGTAGAAGGTGGCCATTTAGAAAAAAAAATTTAAAATTGCCGCCATTTTAACGTGTTTTACTATAACTCGAAAAGTAGTGGAGCGATTTTGTTCATATTTGGTATGTGAATACTATAAGCATGGCACACTGTCCTATGACACTTTTGGTAGAAGTTGGCCATTTTGAAAAGAATTTTGAAAAATGGCCGCCATTTTAACGTATTTTACTATAACTTGAAAAGTAGTGGAGCGATTTTGTTCATATTTGATATGTGAATACTCTAAGCCTGGCACATTGTCTAATAAAATTTTGGGGAGTAGTCGGCCATTTTGAAAAATAGCCACCATTTTTACGTGTGTTAATTTACAAGTACATGTGTGCAATTTTTCAAAAATTTTATAGGTGGCTACTTAAAAGCATATTATTTCTTCTGATGACAACTTGGCTAGTGAGCAACCATTTTGAAAATGCTGGCCTTTCTGGTGTGTTGTTTTATGATATTTGCTATATATTTCGTTTGTAAAAATGCCAGCCATTTCTGTTCGATGGGATTCACTACGCTTTGGCGTTGCCGTTGTTCTGGTTACCACATCTAAAGAATATGGAATCAGGCCTTATCCATGTATGTTACTTCATCCAAAGTCTTGATGTATTGACCAATTGGAATACAGAGTTGGTGTATTGGCCAATTGGAATCCAGAGTCCAGATGTATTGACCAATTGGAATCCAGAGTCTTGATGTATTGACCAATTCGAATCCAGAGTCTTGTTATATTGGCCAATTGGAATCCAGAGTCCAGATGTATTGATCAATGGGAATCCAGAGTCTTGATGTATTGACCAATTGGAATCCAGAGTCTTGATGTATTGACCAATTGTAATACAGAGTCTTGATGTATCGACCAATTAAAATCCAGTCCTGATATATTGACCAATTTAATAAATTATGTTTGTGTTCTTTCAGAATTGTGACATTCTAATAAAGACTGTGGAAGAAACAGGGTTCGTTATGAGAGAGATCCGAGATCTCGAAGACCAGGTGAGGAAATGGGTTTATTGTCTTAAATCAATTAAAACTTCATTTTTATGCTCATTTGACTATTGCATATATAATTTCTGCTAAGATGTGATATGTGAAAGCACAAACATTTGAAATTTGAAATTTCATTGTCCAATAATCAATCTCATAGAAAAATGTCGCCATTGTGCACTGGGAACATGAACAGCTATGAATCTTGGAGTTCAATTTTTGGATTTTAAGTGCATTAAACACTCGAGGATCATACATTTTTGGTTCTTATTTATGAAAAATTATTGTCTTGTTCTTTCTCCAGTTGGATACTTTTTTAAGTCATTTTGCTTGATTTAATTGCAGACTTGAATTCATTCAGTTAGGGGGTTAATTGTGTAAATCTTAATCTCTCTCAGACACTTATGTATACATATTTTTCAGATTGATATTGAGACGAACAAGAAGGTTCTGGACAACCTGGACAAGATCACAGCAGATTATAAACAAATGAAGAAAGAAAATGCACATCTACTTGCCAAACTGAAGGGAAAATAAACTGAAATACTGACATTCTTATAAAGACTGTGGACTGTATGTCATGGTGGTCTTTTTTTGAAATGAAAAATTAAGAGGTTAAGAGTGGAATCAGCAAGAAATAAAGTAAACAGACATATAGAGAACAGTCTTAATTGTATAGAAATGTAAGAAAATTATCCACTCATTCAAATTTACAAGAGTAATGGGAGAGTTATATCCATAAGCAGATGACATTTACGCAATACCAGTGAGAACAGTTATGAGTCAAAACATGAAATACAGAGAAATGGAATGGAAAGAATGGATTAATAACAAAAACATTACACAGCTGAACAATAAACAAACAAAACATTCACAGGCTTTTTTATTGACAGTGAGATTAGATGATGTCTTTGATTATATTAAGAGGAACAAACAGCGTGCCAATATTAGCAGTCAGATACGATAAACACTTCGTTGTAAGGAACATCCCTAGTACATTTATTTATCATGAATTAAACTGTAATTTTTATAACAATGTAATCAACTTACATAGTAAATTATATAATGAACTCATGTATTTTCTATCATGGACTCTATGTTTAGTTCACTAACACTCACAAAATAAGTGAGTTTGTGTATCTATACAAGAGATTATCAATAGTTTTGTGCATACAGCATTATTTAAGATCAAATACAGTGTTGCTTGTTACATGGTGTGACAGGCCAGTCTGTTGCCATGGTTACACATGATTAGAGTCTATTCTAACTTAGAGTCTTCCTATGCGCTGCTTTATTAATCAAATAAAAGACAAGTACATGACTAGGACACAAATGATTTTATACTCATATATAACAATAAATCAATTATTTATATAAAAATCTAGACATTTATTATATATTAACAGTCACAAATTTATTATGTCACCACCAGAAGTTGTGACATATTGTTATAGTTTTCAACTTTTTATGGATGGTGCTTGGCATTTGGCTGTTGGGGTTTGGCAGTTCATGCTCGGCAGTCAGCATCAATTACAAGTGACAGGCAGTGACATTTTGCATGTTAATGCCTTGTATATCACCATCAGAAGTGGTGACATATTGTTATAGTTTTCAACTTTTTATGGATGGTGCTTGGCATTTGGCTGTTGGGGTTTGGCAGTTCATGCTCGGCAGTCAGCATCAATTACAAGTGACAGGCAGTGACATTTTGCATGTTAATGCCTTGTATATCACCATCAGAAGTGGTGACATATTGTTATAGTTTTCAACTTTTTGTGGATGGTGCTTGGCATTTGGCTGCTGGGGTTTGGCAGTTCATGCTCGGCAGTCAGCATCAATTACAAGTGACAGGCAGTGACATTTTGCATGTTAATGCCTTGTATATCACCATCAGAAGTGGTGACATATTGTTATAGTTTTCAACTTTTTATGGATGGTGCTTGGCATTTGGCTGCTGGGGTTTGGCAGTTCGTGCTCGGCAGTCAGCATCAGTTACAAGTGACAGGCAGTGACATTTTGCATGTTAATGCCTTGTATATGACCATCAGAAGTGGTGACATATTGTCGAATATTATACTCTACATTTTTTGTGTACATTGTTTGGTGGTTGGCATCTGTAACAAATGATGGCGACATTTTGCATGTTAATGTCTTGTTATTATTATATAGGCCATCTCATTATTAATTAATTATTGATTAAGACCTTATCTATCTTCTCATATTTTTTACAATTTTCTATATTATCCAACAGAAAGCAATCAAAGGTACATGTGCAGTATGGCAAGTGATTTTAGACAGTCATATCTTTCACCATGAGGACTTTCTGGGCATAAATATAGTAGTTTTTATTAAATCAACATGTTTTCTTTCAAGTGAAGTCCCCATGATGATAAAAATATCAATCGAACAATTCGAAAAATTACAGATGTCAACAATTTTTTCAAAATGTTGAATTTATTTGCTCAAAAGAGGATCTTCTTTTTCTAATTTTTATTGCATGAAAAGATTATTCAACAAGGGGTCTAAAACATCTCAAAAGTAGAATAGTATTGAAAGTCTAGTTTTGAAGATATCAATCTTTGATGACCAAAATCATGCTGAAAACAATGGATAGCATGAGTTTTCCCTATGGGAAAATAACATGGAAAATGTGGTTTTTAACTTTATCGCATTTCAATACCCATCCCCTTTTCAGAAGTTATTGATATAGTTTAGAAGAAACTTTTTATACATTTAAAATGAGAAAAACAAGATCCTCTTTTTAGAAAATAAGCCTTACATTTTTAGAAAAGTGACAATGTGGGGTCCTAATCCATAATTTTTCAGAGAGTTGGATTGATATTTTACTGTCATGGAGACTTCACTTTAAAGAAAACATATTGTTTTAATAAAAACCACTGTATTTATACCCAGAAAATACTCATGGTGAAAGATATGACCGTCTAAAATCACTTGCCATACTGCACATGGACCTTTACAATCAAAAGTCCAATATACATGAAGGTCAAATTCATATCCATTTATATAAAATGTTTTTGATTAGTTTTCATGAGTTATAAAATATATTTTTGTGTATATGGTAAAACATATCAAAGTTCAGGCCCGCAGCCAGGATTGCCTAGGAGGGTTCACTTTTTAAAAAGTTACAGGGGGTATACTTCAGACAACTTTGGCCCAAATAAGGACAAAATCACTTGAAAAGTGCTCAGAATGGTGAAAAACCGTATGATTTTGAAAGAGCCCCCCCCCCTGGCTACGGGCCTGAAGTTTTATATCTGTGCCATATTATTTTTTATCAGCATTTATAACTTATGAATAATGTTTGTTTTTGACATCTGTCATATTTCTGTATATACAGTAAAACCTGTTATATGAATGCTTGTATAAAAGTTGGTCAAATCTTTATTGTAAATTGCCTACACACGTTTTTTGTCCTACTCTCCCTGTCATTCTACATCCAAGACTTAATGCTTTTGATGGAAACGATGTGCTGTAATAAAAATATAAGACTTTATATATATGCATCCAAACAGATTTAAAATTAATCAAACTGATCCCTGGGGGTTCCTCGTATACAAATCCCGATAATAATTTTCTGCTCAAATGGTGTACCTTTTGGTATTGCTATGGAACTTCAATGAAGTTACTTCATAGTAAATGCATCTGGGTTTCATATTAAACTTGTTCATATGGTAACATGTTGATATTTGATGGTCTAGCCTAGGATCCTGACAAGATTTAGGTCCAGAATGAGTCCCGTCTTTTCAAACAACATGTGCAGTGAACCCCCTAGGCATTCTGATATATAGTTCTCAATGAAGTCAAGTGCTTGAAACACATGCAGTTTTCCCATGATACTGTGTTTCAAACGAGCCAAGTCACTTTTTGGAATACCCCTTTACCGCTATTGTACTAAAATATCTCATTTTTGTCTTTGGCTAAAATGAAATTATTCAGTTTTCTAGGTAAGTCTATTTACATAATTTAGTGTACATTTTGTAATTATTTTTATCTCAAGTAACATATATAATGACATGTAGGCTATTCTGTTGTTTAATTTTTAATTTTGTTTTTAAATTTGTTTTTAATTTTTTAGCTCATTTTAATACTTGGATTATTTTTGAACTGTATGTACCTAGATTTCTCTTGAAAGCCAATGTTGTATTGCATCTTATTACAGCATTTGTTAATGTTGTAAGTGGCCAGTTCGAATGCCCAGTAGACATTGATGGAGTCCCTATTGATGGAAACTACCCACACGAGACAGACTGCGCCCGATATTATAATTGTTGGTTAGGCGATCCTGTAGAATGGTCTTGTGAGGGTGGTCTCTGGTTCGATTCATGGTCGATGAGCTGTGTTAACCCAATCGAGTCTGATTGCAAAGGTATATTATGACATCACAAACTTACATCAAACATGTATTTTAGTTGCTGTCGGATTTTTAGAGGAGTTAACTTAAAACACTGCATTTGCTTATAGGCTGTGCATTGGTCACTGCTTTATAATCGCCTAAATTCAGTTGAAATGTTTTGCAGGAAATCTGAAATGAATTTCAGAATAATTGAAATATCAAATTGGTTAATGTAAATGAAAAGGCATGAGTTGTAGGATGTATTATCAGTATAGATGGCACTGGAATGCCTTTGGGTGTAGATTATGTATTTGATTCTGATTGTAACATGATATGAAAAATGCAGTCATTGAGAAACAACTGAAATATTAGGAAACAAAGTGACAAAATAAAATGTATATTATGTGGTTCATAGATACAATTGTACAGAGTGGGCCAAAATATAAAATCTACAGGGTGACCATATATTATGCGGGTAATGAACTTGTATTTTACAGAGGAAGAGTTCAACTTTGCATACTGTGACATCGTTTCCAATGATCCTAATGAAGGCCAGCAGATATTTGGTGGTCTCCAATTCAGACAGAATGTAAGTGGAACATTTCTGCTTATGTATAAGGGGTTGGTTTGAACAATGATATGCTTTATATTTACAGTTTATAATTAAGCAGAAAAAAGTTTCCGATTACAGAAAAATGAAATTTATTTATGAAAAGGACAACTTGCTTCAGTATTAATTTGAGGTTCAGTAATGTAAACTGAAGGCTCATTTTGAAAACTTTTCTTTCATATGTTTTCTTTATTTCATGATAATACGTCATACAATACAGTAGTACAGGGCATACGCCTAGGCACTATTGGCCCTGTAATTTGAAAACTTGCTCAAATAGATTTCCTAAAACATGTTTATCCATTCTCTATGTTATAAGAAAACTGGGGGAGTCAGCGACATTTATGTTCAACTCCGGGGATTTGATCCAAATGATGGTGAGTTGTTACATGGAATGCACGTCCATACAGAAGGGAGTATAGAGGGCGGTTGTGCTGCTACTGGTGGCCATTTTAATCCTATGTCAAGCAATCATGGGTCACCTGCGTCTGATGAAAGGTGAGTGATTCAGAATGTTGGGAGTAGTTTTCAAGTAAATATGCTGTATTATAATGTTTAATAGTATGGTGTATGAATCTTGCATAATGTCCCACATGTCATCAAATGCAAGGGATTCAATATCATGGAAAAACTAGAACTATTTCAATGGCAGTATTTGCGATATAAAGAAGGTTGGTCACACAATATTGAATACAGCGCAACTTTGAGACAAATTGTCATCCCTCATTGCATATTTACCAGAATATCCTACATCCATTATTTGGATTTTTCTACATGTTTTAGACATGTGGGAGATCTTGGGAACATTGAGGAAGATACAACAGGAAGTGTCTCCATGGTAATAGTTGATGACATGATCAGTTTACTTCCTGTCAACCCTAACTACATCATTGGTCGCGCTATAGTTGTAAGTACCTTTCCATATATAATGGGTTATAGTGATTGGTGAAGACCCAAACATAAAGAATATAAAAGTGCCCAAAACATATGTTCAACTTGCATGTCCCCCCAGAGAAATATATTTTGAAATGTATTGAAAAGGAATCTATAATGGAAATTTACAATAATTTGCCTACAGGTCCACGCAACATATGACGATTATGGCTTGGGAAATGGCACAAGTCTGATAAATGGAAATGCTGGCGCGAGACTTGCTTGTTGTGTTATCATGGCTGATGACTTTTAATAAATCAGTTTAAGAATGAATACTATACATATATTTTTCACTTTGTTGTATTTTACCACCTACCAGGCCTCCTAAAATGTTGCCCCTCAAGAGCGAAAAATTTGAATGATCTAACATTTAATGCAGAATTTATAGAATTTGCATACAGGTATAGGGTGCAGGCCCGTAAGACACTTTTCTCCAAGGGGGGTGCGGTTTTTACTAAAGAGAATATAAAATTGTCATTTTTTTGCTGCGTAAATCAAATCGCGTAAGTCAGAGGGGGGGGGGGGTCGGTTACTCCCTTGATCGGTTTGGAATTAACAAGTGCAACTTCAAAACGTTCCAATTGTTTTGTGGGGGGTGTGAGGAGTGGTCCACTCCCCCTAGAAAATTGTACAGTTTTGAGATGCTATTTGGTGCTTTCTGGGCACTTTCAAAGTGTATGAGTCAATAAGAAAAATGTGAATTTTTTTTCAAATTCTTTTGGGGGTGTCAAAAAGGATGAGAGGGTGAAGTTGGGTGGGGTGCCAGAGGGGGAGCAAGGGGTTGTCCCCACATTGATCATACCAAGGTGCTATTTGATGATGTCTGCACAGTTAAAAATGAAATTCAGAATATTTTCTTTTGTTTTGTGGGGGATGTGAGGGGTGGCTAACTCTCCTAGAAAATTTTAAAATTTAAAGATGATATTTGGTGCTTCTGGGCACTTTTAAAGTGTATTAGTCAATAAAAACATTCAAATTCAAATTTTGGGAGTGTCAAAGGGGAGGGAGGGGTGCCAGAGGTGGGGTTGGGGTGCCAGAGGTGGACCAAGTGTTTGTCCCCCATATCAGTCCCCCAGAAACATTTACAATATCAAGGTGCTATTCGATGAAGTCTTGGCACTTTAAAAGTGTCTGTGCCTAAAAGTGCTTATTTCCCAAGAAAATTTTACAATTTTAACATGCTATTTGGTGCTTTCTTGGCACTTTCAAAGCGTATGAGTCAATAGAAAATTTGAAAAATCTTAATTTCCTTTTCAATTTTTTTGGGGGGTGTCAAGGGGGGGGGGCTGCCAGAGGGGGAGGTGGAGTGAGGATACCAGAGGGCGAGTAAGTGTTAGTCTCCCAGAATCATTAACTATATCAAGGAGCTATTTGATGATGTCTGGGCAATTTAAAAGTGTCTGAGACAATACATAAAACAAATTCAGAACTTTTCCATTGTTTTGTTTGGGGTGTGAGGGGTGGCCCACTTCCCCTAGAAAATTCTACAATTTTCCGACGCTATTTGGTGCTTTCTGGGCACTTTCAAAGTGTATGAGTCAATTAAAGAATTTGAGAAAATCACAACTTTTATCCAATTTTATTTTTTTTGGGGGGGGGTCAAGGGGGGGGGGGGGCGCCAGAGGGGGAGGTGGGATGGGGATGCAAGTGCAAGATGCAAGAGGGGGAGCAAGTGTTAGTCCCCCAGAAACACTAACTATATCAAGGAGCTATTTGATGATGTCTGGGCACTTTTAAAGTGTCTGAGACAAAACACTAAAATAAAGAATGGGTATCGATATGGCGAACTTTTTGAACACACGTTTCTCTTAAACCAGTCATCAAAAATTTCTGAAAATCTTACAAATTGTCAATTCAATGGCCATCTTTTGAATGGTAGCAATATGATTTGAAATAGATATACATACTTTCATCTATATTGTTTTAAAAAACACATCAAACACTTGTTTTGTTCTTGGTATCATGTTTCCAGAGTGAAATGAAACATCTTTCCGAACCTCATTGGAACAAAACGACATAAACACAACATGTTTAGGTCTCTCAATATTGTTATTGTACAAAATAAATTTTGGTTGATTTTAAAAAAGTATCTTGTTAATGAAATAAAAGTTTTTTCTTGATTTTTATTATCTATTTTTGGGGGATTTTGTTTTAATTTTTTGAATACTTTTTTAAAATCAACCCAAAATTCCTTTGTATAACTTTAATATTGAGAGGTCTAAAAACATGTTGTATATGCTAATTTGTTCCAACAAGGTTCGAAAAGACATTTTATTTCATTCTCAAGAATTGGTAGAAAGGAGCAAAAACAATTAGGCTAAAAAAACAAAAAATGTTAACAAAAACAGTTATATAAAATATTTCTAAATAATTTTCGCATTAAATTGTTGTCAATCAGCCAACATTACATAAAATACCATGTTATTTTACAGAATGTTTTCAATGATTGGTTTAAGAGAAAAACATTGTTGAATTCAGTTCTCCATATCTATACCTATCCTTTAGAACTTTTCCATCGTTTTGTGGGGGGCGTGAGGGGTGGCCAATACCCCTAGAAAATTTTACAATTTTAAGATGCTATTTGGTGCTTTTTGGGTACTTTCAAAGTGTATGAGTCAATGAAAATATTTCAAAAAAAAATATTTTCAATTTTTTTTTTCAAATTCTTTTTGGGGGTTGACAAAGGGGGTGCGGTCGCACCCATCGCACCCCCCCCCCCATCTGACGGCCCTGGGGTGATAGAAAAAAATTGCAGAACAGTATATCACTTCTACAGATATCTAGAGAAAATCGACATATGGACTACACATCTGCCATCTTTATATCGACCTTAAACTAATAATAATTTGTTTCACGTGTTCCACCTTGAACCGCTGCAAAAATAAAAGAGTCCAATGGACTTGAGGGCTTCAGGCCATATGGAGTATTCTCATTGATATCTTGGTCATGCTAGGTCAAAATTCTTAAATATATTTTAATTAATGCACCATTAATGTGCTCTGTTAACAAATACTGCAACCCAGGCTTCACTCTGGCTAACATGAAACTATTGATATTCTTTGGTAAGTGACAATGGAAAATTTGACAATGAAAAAACATAAGTAAGACCCTTATTTGACAAAGTTGTCAAAATTTGAAATAAAGTTAAGTAAAATGTTAAATGTTGAAGGAAATTTACTAATAATTAATGAAATGGGCATGATATTTTCACATTTAATTTGTTGATACTTATAAATCTTGTTGACTACACACTGTACATGTAATTCAAAATGTTGTTGCATTTCGTGATCAGTTGTTGGAATTATATTTCCTGATTTTTTCAACATTGTGGGAATATCTTAAATCTCTCAAGTGAGTGTATTATTGCCTGTCTCTCTCTTCAATACAATGGTTAACTATTGTCATTTTCAATTTCTCATTTATTGCAATTGCTCAATTACATTTTTGTTAGTTTTGTATTTTAGCATTTGTCACTGCTGTAAGGGGCCAGTTTGAATGCCCAGTTGACATTGATGGAAACCCAATTGATGGGGGATTTGCCCATGAGACAGATTGCACCCGCTTTTACAACTGTTGGGAGGGTGAAGCCACAGAATGGACTTGTGAGGATGGTCTCTGGTTTGATTCCTGGACGCAAGGATGTGTTCACCCAATACGTTCAGATTGCAAAGGTACATGCTGACATCTATATCTGAAAATGCACAAGCATTGTATTTTATTTATTTAGTCACCACCATGACATGGCCTTCACCTTTAATGAATTTTTGTGAAAATATCTGTTACCATGGCAAAACCTTATATGACTTCAAACATATGATTGTACCTATGTCCCCTGCTTTAAACTTCACGACTATTCTGAAATATGATATTAAAATAAAACTTGCCATGAAGTCTAATAGTATATACATGTAGTTTCTAAATAGCTGGATAAAGCTGAATAAAGCTTGCATAATAGATGTCTCCCTTGATTGTCTTTGATTTGCTTGGTCCAAACTTCCATTGACTTAATGCTCACGGTGGGGATTGTCATCACATGACCTTCGTAATTGATGGTGTCTGAACAAGCTGTACGATTTTCTCGGTTAAGCCAGATAAATGAATATTTTTCATATTTATATTTTGTTAACAGCGTCAAGTTTCTCCCCACTTATGTATACTATCTCAGTCTTTCAAATGAACCTAAATTGACAAGCAGAGGACGCATATTATTTGAGATATGACTGTTTTTCGTTTCGGAAAATGATGGTGTCTGAACAACTCTAAAATTCTTGATGATGGTGTCTGTACAAATTTTTTGAATACACGACATGGATACCAGTCTCCATGTTTTCATGTGTAATTGTTTATTATATACTATGCATTCCTGTACTCTCGTATATTCAAGGCTTTGTATAAAAACCTAGTGCCTCGTACCCACGTCCCGACCCACGTACGTGGGGCATGATACATTCTTTGAAGGGTTCAATTTGTTAAATATAAATGCATTAGTGCACGTCGAAAAAAGGCGAACGCATTCCGTTCGGACTTTTCACGCGAGTTTAGTTTTTATGGTTCTTTTATTTAAACAGTCTTAATTTACAGCATAAACAGGGCCTAAGCCAAAGCATTATTGGCCCTGTGGGTAACAGCATTTGAATTTACATAAAAGATGGCTCTCCTGTTTGGAGAAATGAACTGATTGTTTTGACTCATCATAAATACATGTTAATTTAGACAATTCCTATTATCTTACAAAGAAAATCTGTAAAAGATTTAAAAACTAGACCTTTAATAGAATTATTCAATGAAATGTCACCAAACGCGAGTTCCGTATGTCACGCATTTGCTTTGAAATATGTGTATATGTCGAGCATTTTCTTCGAAATATTTTGTACCATTTTGGATGTTGACTATACTAGTGCTACAAATGTACAAAGTGGATTAAGAATATAACTATACAATTGAATAATAACTCAAGGGAAATTGGTAACCTGCCTAGAATGTCAAGATAAGGCTGTCCCAACGTTAAGAAGGAGCATTATACCCAGCTCATTTGAAAGAATAATTGACTTAACATCGGGATATCATCAAGTTGATACATGCTGATATCCGTATGCTAAGTCAATGGAACCAAATAAAATAATAAAACAAAAAAATGAAATGAAAATAAAAGGTTAAGGTCAAAATTGTCCTTTGCAACATTCTTTATCATAATATCACATTTTAAATTTTGTAAACGATGATTTTGCACGCAAGAATCTTTTATTATCAGATATGCACTGACTTGACCTTTACAAGGTCACTATGGCCTCAATAACACTGAACACTATGCCATAATTAACGCCCTGCTAAATACCATATTATATGTCATAATGGTCATGAATGACCTGGGGGCAGTTTTATATACTTAGTGTGACGGATCTTTTATCTATTAATGCTCGTTCAGTAGAAGCAATATTCACTAAAATTGTCACGTTTTTCATTTGCTGGGGACTTCCAGGAAGTCGTCTTTAAAGTGTGACTATATTGCCACATTTAGGTTGCATTACAACCTTGTCTTTATGGGTGTACTACTCTCCCCGTCATCAAATTCGGAATGACCATCCACAATTGAGCAAACAATTACACTTTCGCGTTTTGGGATGACTAAAATCATCGTTCCCCTTACTGTGATTAAACAAAATGAAGCACAGAATTCCATTTTGCAAATCCCCGACATATTAAAACCTAATTTAGCGTAGATTTTCCCTATTGGACGAGCCTTTGAATGGCGCTATTTTTAAAAAATTGATCGGATAATCCTTTAAAGCTTTTAAAATTGAACCCTTCAAAGACTGTATCACGACTCACGTACGTGGGTACGTGGGCATAAGGTACAAGTTTTTTTTATACAAAGCCTATATTTAATAAGTTATTATACAATGCAGAAGCCAGACCCTATTAATGTTACATAAGTTTGCATCTAGCAATTGACTTTAATAAGGACAATGACATCACGAAGAAATCCTGTATTTTGATTGGTCAGATTTCTCTGGCCTCTCAAAAAGTGACTGGCTTTACTGAATAATCATCTTCGTTCACTAGGCTCCCGTCGGAACGCAGTGAAGACTGAGCGTGCGAAGATGCTGAATAATACCATCCCTGGGCAGTCTAATGGATGGATTCATTTTATATTGTTTTATTCAAGTACATCAAGTAATCTTTTGTAATATTGGATAAATAACGTCTGATCAAATAACTTAATCGCCCAGTTTCTGGTGACAATACACGATGTATCTAAATTCCTCTGATGGATGATTGTCCCACACATTATTTGCAAATCGTTCAGTGAATGTTGGAAATTCAACCAATGGATGGCAGTGATAACAGGCAAACATCACAATTCTAGGTTGATTTCGGTTAAACACATTGGAAAGAAGCAGATGAATTTAAAAGACACACGAAAACACGAGGACTACTTTCCAAGTAGTGTATTTTAAAATTTGTACAGACACCATCATGCAGAATTTAAGAGTTGTTCAGACACCATCATTTTTCGAAATAAAAAACAGTGATATCTCAAAAAATATGCGTCCTCTGCTTGTAAAGGACGATTCTCGGTTTGGAGAACAGTCTCCGGGGCTAATAATTTTTTTCATTGAAAATATAGAAATATTACCCAAATTAAACTATGAATATTCAAAAGAGGACATTTAAATCTACAAGTTGTAAAAATAACAAATTGTTCTGAAGCAGGGATAACGCTCAATTAGACCGATTCAATAAAATACAAGTCTCGATTTGGGGAAAGAAGTTCATCAGTGTACTGCGCTAATATATTTTTTGCGAAAAATCTAGAAATATTACCCAAATTAAATTATGACTATTCAAAAGAAGACATTCAAATCTATATTATGTAAAAAAAATCAAATTTGTCCGAAGCAGGGATAATGCTCATTTAGATTGATGAACTTCGTTCTCCAAACCGAGAATCGTCCTTTAGGTTCATTTGAAAGACTGAGATAGTATGCATAAGTGGGGCGGGATTTGAAGCATTTAACAAAGTATAAATATGAAAATTATTTGTTTTTCTTGCTTAATCGAGAAAATCTTACGCCTTGTTCAGACACCATCAGTTGCGAAGGTCACGTGATGACAATCCCTACCGTGATGCTAGAAACTTGCAAAAGTCACTTAATTTCATGATTTATCAAAAAGTGTTGGTAGAATGTATGGAACTCGAATGGCATACTATTGGATGACCCTGTCAATGTACATATTGTGATTAAACACGAAAATGTTGGTTGCCATACAAATAAACCAAGATTTTAAAGAATTTTAGCATTGCATCAATGGAGATTTGGCCCAAGTTTTTTTTAAACTGTCATGGAAAATGAATAAAATGACATGACTGTTTAAATCACAGCTGTTATTGGAGAAAACTTTTCTCTGAATTCAAATTTGCTATTAAAAAGAAAGAAAAGTAATTAGAGGTAAAAAGTGGAAATCTCTTAAAATCACATGAATAGACGAGAATTTGGGAGATTTAGAAACTCCTCTATTATGCAACTGAATATCCAACTAGATGTATTGTCATGTCAAAAGAAAGAAATATACCATAGTTATGATACAGTGATATATATTAAAATACCTAACCCCAAATAAATTTGAACATAAATGTTTTTTCATTTCTGCACATTTTCCATATGTTTTTTAATCAATTATATAACATGCAAAGTTTTGTAGATAAAAATGTCATCATTTTGGTATAATTGAATTATAATTGAATCCATCCAAATAATGTATAAATGTAAAATCTTATTTTTTATAAGTTTGATGTCATCAAAGTCTTAAAGATGAGCACTAAGTTGTTGTTGCTACTATGCTTTGCTTTAACACGGAGCCATTTGTCCTAAAGCTGAACACTTTTTAAATCATTGCCTCGACATGTATGCTACAACATGGAGCTACAATTTGCCATTGTATGACTACCTAAGTGCTAAATGAATCAATATTTTGCTTTTAGTTGGAGCCATATGTCCTAAAGCTGAACACTTTTTAAATCATTGCCTCTACATGTATGCTACAACATGGAGCTACAATTTGCAATTGTATGACTACCTTAAGTGCTAAATGAATCAATGTTTTGCTTTTAGCTGGTGATTATAACAATGCTAGATGTAGAATGACCCCAAATGACCCTGATGCAGGACAGCAGATATTTGGTGACGTCTTTTTCAGACAGAATGTAAGTAGAAATTCTGCTGGACTCTGAGAGGGAAAGACTCTGAGAGATGACGATAAGTGACAATATACAGACATTTTCAGAAAAATTGCCAGGATTATCCAAATTCATGAGAATAAAACATTGCCTGAAATTAAATGATCTGAATACAGGGTGAGCCAAAAAAGTGAGCCCAACCAAATGTTTGTTAATAACTCAGTCATATAGCATGGGTTTAAAATCATATTTGGCGTAATTACATCTTGTTCAATGTTCTTTCCTTCTAATAAGTGTCAATTGTCTATCTCCAATGGTCACGATTTACAAAACATGCTCCAAATGCCAAAATGTGCCTTACTTGATAGAATGAAAGAACATTGAATAAGAATTAATCGTCCCAAATGTTACCTTAAACCCATGCTGATTGACTGTGTTGTTAACATATATATTTAGGTTACCATTTTGGCTCACCCTGTATTTTAGGAAGTAACTCTAACTTTTAATTCAGTTCAGTTCAATCAACTGGCCATCTGTTGTATTTCTGTATTTCTTTTTATTTACTAGCAAACTGGCGGAAACACTGACATTTATGTTGAACTTCGAGGATTTGATCCAAACGATGCTGAGGTGTTACATGGAATGCACGTTCATACAGAAGGGAGTATAGAGGGCGGTTGTGCTGCTACTGGTGGCCACTTTAACCCTACGTCAAGCAATCATGGTTCCCCTGCATCTGAGGATAGGTGAGCATGTAACATGTAAAGTACTTTCAAACATATGTAACATTGCATGGTGTCCTGGGTCACCATATTACAATTTTATAGTACAGGAGTGGTAAAATTTGTTTTTGGGACTGGAGTTAAATAATGACTCAACACAAAACATCTAAATATAGTTGAACTCTGACATTTTGTGATGCGTGGACATTAACTGATATTTTTGATAATATCCACTTTATTGACATCTTCCTTTTTGTGCAAAATATTCTGCTCCGGTATTAAACTTGGAGTTAGCAATTTAGAATGGTGGTGTATGTTGTAGACACGTGGGAGATCTTGGGAACATAGAGGAGGACACAACAGGAAGTGTTGTCATGGTATTAATAGATGACAAAATCAGTTTACTTCCTGCCAACCCTAACTACATCATTGGTCGCTCTATAGTTGTAAGTATATTTACATTTACTTTATTGAGTTGGTGGGTCTGTCTAGGTATAATGGCCCCAAGAATTAAGATATACAGATATAAGGTATAATATATACATGTACTATACAGGGGCATAGCCATGCATGAGGCAAGCGAGGCATTTGCCTCACCAAAAATGTGAACAGAAAAATTTTCATTCAGAAATATTGTCAATTGACCTTTTTCCATATAAATGGAAAATAGATGGCATCATGGGTATTGGTAGGGCTAGGGTAGGGCTAGAATACATGTAAATGTATTACTAGGGTCACTTAATTTCTTGATTTAAGAAGTAATTCCATTTGGATCAACTTAAAACACCATTGGAATATAACAATATAATCTTAATGACATGTGGATTGTGATATCACATTAAAATTGTGATCCTTGTGAGAGTAAAGGAACTTTTAAAGGTTTTTCAGCATTGTGTCAATGGGGATTTAGCCCGACCTTTTTTAGACAACTATAAATCATTAGAATTTGAATAAAGGTAAATAATGGTGCAAATCAAAATTGTTTTGGTAGAAAATTACACACAGAATTCAAATATGTCATCAAATAGAAGAAAATGTTAGTCTTTAATGGTTAAAAATGTAGATCTCCTAAAATCTCATTAAAAACGAGACTTTAACAAGATTTCATAGCTATATGGAAAAAGGACCATTGAAAGTGTAAACGCCACTTCTCATCAGATAGTACATGTATTTAAATATTGCTTTTATCTCAACGTGCCTCACCTAATTTAATTTGTCTCGCCAGTTTCTAAGTCCTGACTTTGGTCCTTGCCTCGAATATCCACCTATAAAGGCGGAAAATGTGCAAGGAAAGAGAGTTAAATACTGTGCAGTCCGTGGCAGGAGTTATTTAAATATGAAATTAGCTAAATTGACTTAATGGATTCATATATATATACAGGTCCATGCAACATATGACGATTATGGCTTGGGAAATGGCACAAGTCTAATAAATGGAAATGCTGGCGCAAGACTTGCTTGTTGTGTTATCATGGCTAATGACTTTTAGTTACAAATAAAGTGCAAAACTTCAGTATTTAAAATTTTGTGTGTCTAGTTTGTAAATTATAGAATGTGTACTACTATCCACACAGAGGAAATAGGCTGGTATAAAGATGGTAGTAGTGTAGTTGATATGTTGATATGAGAAAAGATGAGTTAATACTTATCCCAAAGAAAGAAGTTTGATATGGATATAGTGAAGCCCTCCGTCTGTCTGTCAGTCCATCCGCCTGTCTGTCCGGAAGATAACTTGAATACTAGCTGACAGATTTTTTTCAATTTTGAGGGAAAGATGCGTATCAATGAACTGTTTTTCTCAAAAACAGAAATTTTCAAGTTGTGGCTACTTTAAAATAGCAGTAACTTTTCGTGAAAATCTAAAATTTTGATTTTCAACTAAAGTAATAAAATAGAATTATTATTATAGCTCAGTGGTAGAGCAATCACCTTGTAAGCGAGGGGTCGTGGGTTCGATTCCCAGTGGGGTGGACTGACTTTTTCACATTAATGACTTATGTTGTGCTCTTTGCTCTACTATAATGTTCCTAGAGTTTGATAATCTTGTATTGTATTATTTTGTTCTGCTGCTGAGGTCAATTAATAGTACATGAGAGTTTTCCTGAATTTCCAGAATTTTTGTCATTTTCTGGAACAGCATTTTGATTGGACATCTCCAGTCACATGATTTAATTGGAAAATTCTCTAGAAGGTCAAGGGTTATTGAGTCATTCAGTTAGTTTTGTTCACAGGATATTATAGTATTATGGCCTTGACCTGGAAGCCATTTATAAAGACCAATTCAAGTTTTTCAATATTGAATATAAATCCTAACTAAAGATTAATATAATAGAATATAGAATTTATCAGTCCTGTAACAATAAGAAGATGGCAGAGTAGTATACTAGTATCACATATCGTCTATTCAGATATAAGAGGAAGGAAAGCCCCAGAGCTTTAGCGATGACAGACATAATTGTCTCTTGCTTACCACCTTCGTTTATCAGAATGTTCACTGGCTAGTTTACAAATACACCACATCGTTGTGATGTATTGATCTATGTTAGCATATTCCTTACGTCTAATCTTTATCTTGGTGTAAAGTAACAAGTTGTGATATTAATTAAGAAGAAATTAACATAATATTTTTTAAAGCGCGTTTAGAAAATTTTGAAACCCCCTCTTTTCAGATATCTAGAGAAGAAATGAAAAAGTCAATGTACTTCAGGCCATATGCAATATTCCCATAAATATCTTGTTCACTGCTAGGTCACTACTCTGAACATAATTTAATGTACCATTTAATATGCTCTTTTACCAAATTCTGCAACTGGTTTCACTCTCTGCTGAACTCTCTGGCTAACATGAAACTATTGATATTTTTATGTAAGTTTATATTTTACAGGACATACATATTAAGACTCATATTTAACAGAGTTGGTCAAAAATTGAAATTACGTAAAAGTTGAGACTAACATAAATGTTTAGGTACATGTAGAAGTACATGTACAAGTTAAGGTAGATCTGCTTGTTAAATGTTGAAACAAGATTCCATCTTTTTCATTTTTTTGTTGTGCATGTGTGGGACTACCTTAAATCTCTCAGGTAAGAGAGTATTTTGGTAATTTTATTATTGGAGACTTGGGCTTAACAGGTTCATGGTAAAAATGAACATGACGATTCTGTACTTTTAGTGTACTTTATTTTGGATATTAAATCAATGTTTAGTATTTGCATTTACAACTTCTGATTTAAAGGCCCCATATAAAGTTTAAACCACTTTGGCTTATATTGTAGTCTTACCCAATCTTATCAAAGTGTGATATGTGAAATAATTTCAAAAAGTGGCTTTTGAAGAATGTTGTTTAAGAGGTCACAGGTATCTTTTATTAAGCATGAAGTCAGACCAATGCATAGCATTCATTTTCATGTGTTTTTTAGCCGAAATTAAGAAAATTGGTTCATATACATGATGTCATGATGTATAAACGAGAAATTAACATGAAAATAGTTCAGAGAAAAATGAATTTCAAAATATTAGTTCTCATAGAAACCAGTGGTGCAATAATATTTAAAACACAATATATTCTTTCTTTTAACCCGTTTAGACAATCAACATTGGTTTATTTTTGAAGTTTAACATATTTAGAAAAGATTGACAGAGAAAAAAAATTCAATTTTGTATTGAAATAGTGTGTCCTCTGTTCAATCTTTGCACTGGTATTTAAAAGGTCATGTAAAATTTCAACTTTTACTTGAAAAGAAGTGGGAAATTTGAACTTTTTTCAAAATTTCTTAAATAACTTTTTAAGTCATGACAAACAGTAAAAACCTACAGTATTTTCAAACTTTACATGGGAACTTTAATAAAATTGCTCAATCGCATATTTGTTATTCTTGTATTGAATTTGAATGTATTTCAGCATTTTTCAGTGCTGTAAGGGGCAAGTTTCAATGCCCAGCTGATGGAGGATTCCCCCATGAGACAGACTGCACCCACTTTTACAACTGTTGGGAAGGTGAAGCCACAGAATGGACTTGCGAGGATGGTCTCTGGTTTGATTCCTGGATGGAAGGCTGTGTTCATCCAATACGTTCAGATTGCAAAGGTACACCCTGACATCTTTATTATACAATGTACAAGCAATCTGTATTTAGTTACCACCAAGAAGGGGAGACATACTGTCATGGTCTTTGATTTTTGTGAAAATATATGTTACCATGGTAACACATTATGTGACTTCAAACACATATACCTACAGTATGTCACCAGCTTCAAACTACACAACTATATTTAGCAGTTATGTCCCTATCATTGAATATATGCCTAAGGTCTGTCACCAATATAGCCCGAGCTTGCGAGGGTTATATTACGACAGACCGAAGGCATATATTCAATGATACGGACATAACTGTTGATGACGTCATAAGATTGTCATGGTAAAAGGTTTGGCGGCTATACAGGAATATATAGCCGACCTTCAGCTCCATTGACTTCAATACAAATGCTTCCCTATGTAATACTATGAGATATAGGTAGAGTTATCTGCAGAGATAAGAGTATAAAAGAGAGTATAAAAATAGAGTATAAAAATGCCCCACCCCCCCAAACAAAATACAGTATTCATTTTTGCTCACTTAGTCAAATATTTTCTTGCAGAGTGCAACAGAAATAGATTATAATGTCATTATTAGGATATAATTCATTGAATCCATCCAAATAATATATATATATATATATATAATTTACTAAAAAAAGTATATCATATCAGATTTATATGTCCTAAAGATGAACACTACAGGGTTGATATTGCTCCTATGCTTTAACATGAAGCCATCTTTTACCAGTGTACTAACTACCTTAAGTGCTAAGTGAATAATTATTCTGCTTTTAGCTGATGAGTATAACAATGCAAGGTGTAGAATGGAACCCAATGACTTTGACGAGGGACAGCAGATATTTGGTGACGTCTTTTTCAGACAGAATGTAAGTAGGAATATAAGTTGCATGAATAAGAATCTGACATCTAGATTGTAAATATGACAATTTACACAGACATTGTCAGGAAAAACTACCAGAATTGTCCACATTCAATAGAATTGAACAGGGGGCTAGCCACTTATTTTAAAAATTATTTCTTTGATCAAATTATTGTCATCATATGTTTAAGCGAATGCTCTTACCTTGAAAATGCAATACACTGGCCTTATTTGGTATTTCACTAGCTACCTGGCGGAAACACTGACATTTACGTTGAACTCTGGGGATTTGATAGAAATAATGATGAGGTATCACACAGAATGCAGATCCATACAGAAGGGAGTATAGAGGGCGGTTGTGCTGATACTGGTGGCCATTTCATTCCTACGTCAAGCAATCACGATTCCCCTGTGTCTGATGATAGGTGAGTATATATGTGATATGTTAAGTATTTTTGAACATATGAACCCTTGCATCATGTTATGGGTCACCTCTACCTCCTCATATTTTTGATTTGGCAAGCTTTGATTTCAGCACCAGTTTGTGTTTTTTGGGGAGGGGAGTTACATAATGGCTCAATAAAAGATATCTAAATATAGTTGAAAGCTGACATTGTTGGTACATTCATATAGGAACTGATATAACACTTCACCGTTACTATCCTTAGTACAAATTATTCTGCTCTTGCATTTAAACTTAAGTTAGCAATTTAGAATGCTGGTACATGTTGTAGACACGTGGGAGATCTTGGGAACATAGAGGAGGACACAACAGGAAGTGTTGTCATGGTAATGGTAGATGACAAGATCAGTTTACTTCCTGCCAACCCTAACTACATCATTGGTCGCTCTATAGTTGTAAGTACATTTATGCTTACTTTATTGGTTCTATAATGGTCTCAACTATAAGATATAGAGATGATATGTAAATGATATGGGGGGCAGTGGGGTAAGAAGGGCAATTGGGCAAGACAGACCACCAAGTTTATTTTAGGGGTTGTCTTGCCCCACTGTCCTGTAACTATACAATGATGTAGCCATGCATGATGCAGACAAGGCATTAGCCTCACAAAAAATTACAGAAAAATCTTAAATCAGAAATTCAAGTTTGCCTCGCCTAACTAAATTTGCCTCCCTATTACCTGGTCCTGACTCTGCCCCTGTTTTGCCTCTTATATCCACCTAGAAAGGAGAGTTAAATACCAATAGACTAGATGCGAGTAGAAATAATCTTGATTTACGTCATTAAATATTCAAAATTCACTCAAAGTGATGTCATATTTGAAATCTGCATATAAAAGTACATCTAAAAATATGGTTTCGAAAATTGTCTATCAACTTTGAAAATTTAATTTTTTTGAAAATGTGACTTCTTGTTCGGGTTGATTCCCCATAGACCCCATGTTACAAAATCACAAAAAGTTAATTATCTTTTATTGTATTGGACAGATAACATTTTCTTTTACTGGACATATTTTAATTTGCATAACTATTAGATACATAAGGGTTATATGAAAAATAAACCACTAAAACAGATGTAATTTAAGTTAAAGGGAACTTTCTACTATACCCGCCATGCTATCTGACCCGAACGAGCCACCTGGTGGTGAATCTGGTAACAACCTACTCGCATCTGCGTTATTGGCAGTCAGTGGCAGGAACTATTTTGATGAATATGAAATGCATGTAGTGAATTTTAACTTAATTGAATTAATGGACAATTCTTATATCCAGGTCCATGAAACATATGGCGATTATGGCAAGGGAAATGGCACAAGACTTGCTTGTTGTGTTATTGAATCTGGTGACTTTGAGTTGTAAATAAAGTTTTGTAATATTCAGAGAATTTTGTATGTCTAGTTTGTAAGTAGGATGATATAAAGATGGCAGTTGTGTAGTTCAAAAAAGAGAAAAGGGGAGTTGTTCATCGTTGGAATCCTCTTCTGGACTCCCACTTTTATCAGTTTATAGTTTTTAATTTGATTGAAGAATTGCTATATGAAGCTTGAATGATATTTGATGAGAACTGGAATGTGAAAATGACATGTGATTTCTTTACTACATCATCTTGATTGGATAGATCATAAAATTATACAGTAGATGAACCTTACTCACTTCGAGAGCCATGTTAGATTTTGAAACTTATGGCTCTCAAACGGAGAAGTGAACAGCTGATCAATAGTGACCTTTGAAATTGAATTAAGTTGATCCGCGGCTTACTTTTGGTCTCTAACTGTGTCTTACATCAGTATCATCAATCCGTGTAAGTATTGGAGCGCTGGAGTACTTCTTTTTCGATCAAGACTTGTAAATTGTTCATCGAGTTAAAGTTTTACAGAGCTATTTCCAATATGGCGGTTTGCTAGGTGCGAGATACGCAACGAACGAAATGAATTTTGAGAATTAGTTAGGTTCGGACAACCTCCGGAGATTTACGAAAATGTCCGAGCAGAAACCGCCATATTGGAATTTGGCAGTAAAACGATTCACTTGACTAACAATTACAAGTCTTGATCGAAAAAGAAGTACTCCAGCGCTCCAATACTTACACGGATTGATGATACTGATGTAAGACACAGTTAGAGACCAAAAGTAAGCCGCGGATCGACTTAATTCGATTTCAAAGGTCACGATCATTGAGCTGTCCAAATGCTCCGTGGGAAAGCTATTATATCAAAATCCAAATAGCTTTCGCAGGAAGTAAGATGAACCAAGGTCTTGTACATGAAAAGTGTCTCCTCAGAAGAGGCAGGTTCAACTGTTTAATTACAAGTGAAGTACAATGAAACCTGTTAAATGGAACACCTCTAGAAGTAGAACATCTCTGTTGGTAGAACACTTCAGAATCCCAAGGCCTTCTGACTTAAGGGTATTAAATGAAGTAGAACACCTCCCAAGTGAGGTACCAAAGTGTTCCACTTATTTTACTAAAATTCACAAATGAAAAATAAAAAGTGACGAATAACACCTTTAGGAATAAAATACTTTGGAAGCAAAAACTATTGGGACAATTAAGATAGAGAGATGTGTGGACAAACACATATTCCTCAAATTAAATGATGTTCTTGATGAAAACAAAACATATATCATTTGTAACATTTTATGTTTTATTGATTTCATAATTTACAAAATATTTACATTGATTTTCATGTTATGACTATTTATAATGAAGAAAAAAGCTGTACATTTATATATTTACATAAAATCGAGAACCCTTTAAGAATCCAGTTATGATGAGTGTAAGAACTGTTGACATGGAATACAGTGTTGTTTATTTAATCAAACAATTATGTAATTTGTCAATAATACATGTACATTTACATGTGTGATAATATGTGAACTGTACATGTACATGTGTGATACAAAATGTACAGTACATGTACATATGTTATAATAAATGTACTGTACATATACATTTGTGATAATATAAGTACCAACTACCAAGGGGTACACCAATGATCTAATTTCGTTTTTTTATTTATCTTAACATTTTCATCGTCATCAATTAGAATTTTCTTGGTTTCAATTTTAAAAAATGTTTGAAATAGTATTTGACTGTAAAATTTCCTTGCCTGTCTCAAGCCTGGCTACGTCCATGACATGCATGATGTACGATATGAATGTACAGTGAAATACTCAATGACGATCCAAACTCATTATTAATCACCCTTTTCTCTACAGTTCACTACTTTCTATTTATAATTTATGAATTAACATGTAAAAAGATATAGTGGTCCTCTCTGTATAGATTTGAATCACTCTCAGCACTAGAACTTAATCACAATGCAAGGCTCCATCACCAGAACATTCCCAATTACTATAATACTGTACTTTTAAAGTAAAGTTACTTGACTGAAGGTTGAATGTATATCATATGATTGAACTGATACTACTAGCTTCACGATTGAAACATTTCTCACTTCATTAGTTTCACTTATCTTGTCTGCCTTTACTGGTATGCCACTTCAAAGAGGGCCTAGATCCTCAAATTCCTAAATCTATTTTCGATCTTTACTGCTCTATTAGATAAAATGTCACGCTGTCCACATAAAAATAGCAAAATCGATTTTTTATTTGGAGAAATATTATTTTCATGATATAAGCGTTTTTCTTTTGATAGATATAACTAAAGAATATGAATCAAGTGAAATATTCTGAAATGTTGAGGCTGCTTATCAATTGAGATTTTAATACTGTTGCTGCTCAAAAGATGGCAGTTATGTGCGCTCAGTAATGTACTTTCCAAACATTTTATTCACATTATTGCATGTATTTTGGATGATACTTTATTACCAGTGATTCTAGAGATTAGTGAGACTAGTGATTCTTGTATTGAACCCCCTCCTATTTAGCAAAGAAATGTTTCTTCACGTTTTTTTGCGATGTGCAACTCTTTCAGTGTCATTCATTTGTTTTGGGATAATGTTTCATAAAACAAGATAATCTGGTGCAAATTCGGAAACATATTTGCATCATCCATATGAGACAACCTGCAATTATTCGCAAAATAATTCATAATACATGAATTGATAACATTATAAGTTTCTTGACAAGAATATTCATTTGTACTGTTTATCATAATTCACACATATTGTCAACTAAATGCTACCCTGCACGCAGAGTCTATGCTAGTTATAAACAACCAAAGACGAAGCTCTCTTTTAAGAAGCAAAGTCAAATGACTCCAAAGGGTAACTAGATCCCCAGGGCCAATACAAGAACCTCTGTTCATTTTGAGTTTCTCCTTTCGGAGATAATATGGGTTCATGTTGCTATGACCACTATACATAGTACTTCATTGGGCCATTGTGACCACATCACAATGTGACCACATCACCGAGATCAGACTCTTGATAAAATGTTCAATTTTACAGTTGATTAATTAAACTATTCTATTGTACTGATTTCTCCTAACTATAATTGGCATTTAAATTGAACAATTATGAAGAATGATATAAAAGAGAGGAGTAATACTTTGATGTTAGAAGTGTTATCATTTGCACTATTTCCAGGACTTTTCACACCAACTGTAGTTTTAGGTCTTTGCCCAAATAGCTGATCCATTTCATACCAGCGTCCAAACATGGCTGCTGTAAGTAGGGGCTTTTGGAGGCTATTTGATGACAATGTCGGGCCATCTGAGTACTCCCAGTCATTAATAGATGGCTCTGCCTTGTCTAAAACAACCATCGGGAATATATGCTGGGTACTGAAGTTGCCCTTAAGTGTAAAATGTTCAAAAATGGTTTTCGAGTCTGTTACTTTTGAACCACATGATTCTGGTTCATCTGTTGCACATTTTAGTAAAGTACAGATTTGTAGATAATATGTACCTTCTTTTGTGTGGAGGCCATCAAAGGCCCCAATTGCATATAGTTCATTATGGGAGTTACCAGTTCGTTTATAGGTGGCGCTACAACATACTGCATTGTGACATACAGATATTGTACCTTCGTATTCCTTCAATGAAACAAAATTGAATTTATCGCCAAATAAATCAGAGACGAACTCCCTTGATGTGTTTCCCAGGTTTTCAAGTTTAGTATGCTGGATTGTTTTGGGACTTGGTCTAGATTCAAGCGTGGCAAGTTTAAGTTCTCCATTTGGAGCCTCGTGATCCATGGTATATTCCTTAATCCCATTGTATCCATACACACCGCTTCCAACATTCCTGTTTCTAGGTCGATGAATGTTAGCGCTCAAAAAGTTAACCCCCATCCCATATGCCCAGGCAGAATGAAATGACACTGCACTGAAAAATGGGTAGACATTCATCCAGGCTGTTGGGAAGAGAATATGATTCACTTTGTATTCAGTAACGAGGTCAACTGCAGGCTCTTTGAAGAGGATATCAAAACATACGAATGTTCCAAATTTCCCAAATGGAGTATTGAAGGTGATATACTCCGGAGATGTTGGCACGTCATAACGGACAATCTCACTCATGAATAGTTTCTGTTTATGGTAACGTGCGATCAAGGCTCCTTGCGGGTCAAACACAACGTTTGTGTTGTACTGGTACCTCTTATCGTCAGGGCATTCAGGATCTTGAGCAGGTTCGCAATACTGGTAATCACCCAAATTCGCAACGAGATAAATTGATGAATTTTTGGCAATGCAGCTGAGCGTCTTCAGTATGACATTGTCAGTGGGTTTTGATTGACGTGGATCTAAACATGGATTCCAACTCTCTGATTGTGGGTCAGGAATGTATTCCATGTATGGTACAACAGAGTCACGAGTTGTTCCAAAACCATAGAGCCCATATTCAGGGAAGACTATGATATCAGCATTCTGAAAATAAAGAAAACATACATTTATGTCACTGTAAGGTATTATGATGTAGTAGTGTGAGATGTTTGGATTTACTTTCATAATTAGATTGTTTTATAGTGAGTGAGTGAGTGAATTATTCACTAGTGCATGAATGGGTTGACTGAGTTGAGTTTAGTTTGAAAGTATTAGTGGAGTGAAAGACATGTATGCATGTAGTAGAGCAGAGTGTTGTATTTTAGAGAACATTTTATCAACTGAGTTTTTAGACTTGAGATGAGATACGATGTGATTATCAAAGTGCAATAAAGATGAGAACATTGACTGTCAACTACAAACTATTTATTTAGTATTTATTTTATTATCATTTCACAGTCACACAGGCACAAGATCCTCATGCATCCCTGGGGGGAGGGGTATGTGTGAGCAGCATCAACTTATGGTGGCATGTATTATAAAGAATATTTTGGGTCATTCAAAAATTTTGATTTGAATAGTGTTAATTGGGTGCATGAGACTAGGGGAGTTTTTTACTATCTACCAAGATACAATTAAACCTGTCTTAGTGAACACCTCTCTCGACTGAACACATGTGTCCAGTGAACCTCTTCTCAGGACATACTCTACTGACTTCTTTACTGCTCTTAAGATAATTGCTCTGTAGTAAACAACTTCCTATAGTGAACACATTTTTTGTGACTCCGGTGTTCTCTGTACACAGGATTTGACTGTATATAATTTCTAGAAAAAATCATATTAACCAAGCTTCCTTCTATCTTAAATGTCTCATTTATTTTTGCAAAGGGTTAACAGCAAGAGAATGTTTTCTTCTAGTCAAACAGAATTGGGAATAATTATGCATAAATCAAAAGAGATACATCAGTTTTAAAAAATGATTTATCACTTCCTAGCTATCATCTTCCTTAGAGATGAAAAACTGATCATTAAATATAACATGTTACAATGTATTTCAGTATTTGTAAACAAATATGTTTGATCTCAATGATAAATTACACCGCCCTTTACATTCACTGTCAATATTTTAACATCATATAGCTGTCTTAATCTCCCGAGACTTTCACATTAGGTGATATTTTGGGTATTCATCTTCAAATTAAAAAATACCATCCACGTACATATACGCCACGTAGTAGTGTTTTACATAGTTATTCCTCAGTACCTCAAAATATTATTGAGTCAAAAACATGGCCACCCGTGTTATTTTATTGAATGGAAATATTCAACATTGACCCCAGTAACCTAATGGTAGAATTATTTTACAAATAACTCATTAATCATTTTTGGTTAGACCAAGCAACATCACTGATTTGAAATACAATATTCAAACCAATGTTTAAACGTCCGTCTGCTTCATGCTTATTCCACTCAATTTCTCTCAAAAATTTGAATGAACATAGGTATTTTTTGATATTTTTATACAATTTTGAGATTTGGCTTTGTGTTTTGATATTTTATTTGTAGCTAATTCCTCTCTTTTCAACTCTATTTTGCATTTAAAAACACAACCATTGATTCATTTCTCATACAGGTCGAGTCAATATGATGCATTTACAACTTTTAAATGCTTTGAATTGATAGAATAAAAAAATTGCAATTTAACTAAGTTGAGTACATTTATCAAAGTGTTTTGTTTTATATAACATTTAAATAGTATTTTAATGGTTGTTTTTTCATATAAAACCAAACAGACAAAGCAGACTTCTCTTATCATTTATGTCTCATTTAATAAATTATTTTCTTTGTTGATCTTCAAGGCAAAATTGTCCAAACCATTTTTTCTAAATATACAATTCATTTTTAGTAACTGTAGTATAACAGACAATAATTATCACAATAACTGCACCACACAAATTATTTATTAGCTTGGCCTAAAACCAGATTGTGATGCTATAAACCGGAGATGCTCATCTTTGTGGCCTGATTTATGGGATTGTACTGGATATTGCTATGGCAGAGTATCATACACGTGTGGGACATAACACCAGCCAGGGAGCTGGGTGGGCATGCAGTGTTCTTGGTTAATTACTACTCTGCTGTCTGAAAGTTTGCCTTAATTGTTTTCTTCTCAGCAAGGGTTTGTTTTTGTTGTTTTGTCACAGTGCATCTGTAATAGCTACATGATTGATAACAATCGCTAGAAACTATACATGTTGTATCAATAATCCCCCCCCCCCGTTCTCTCTAGCATCCCAATTCTGAAATATCCTAATGTTGTAGGAATTGGTCATTAATCTTGAGGAAATTAACAAATGAGTAATAACCCTCATGATTCAAAATTTGCCCAACAAAGTTTTTTGTTTAACGGTTTACACGGAAACGGAAAAGGTTTTATAACGACTCATCTCTCAAAGGAGAAGGATTAGTTAGAATTAAAGGCTGATGAAGTTCTGTTGTTTAGATGTTTATTATCACTTTGAAAACTCTACAATTAAGATAATATAACATATATTGAGATTTTATGAGTTCTGGGTCTTCTCTTTCTATTTGTCTAAATAATGAAGTCACCCCAAATTACATGCCTTTTATGTCCCATTTTGCTGTTATATATATAGAGGTTATTTATGGGAGGGATGGAATGAACTTATTCTAATATTGGCAAAGGAAAATAGCATATATTTTTCTCAGAGATTTATGAGATTATTGTTAACAACTTGATTTCAAAAAGCAGCATATTTATAGTGCTTTAGTCATGGGGTATTTGACATATTTATGTACATGTTGTCATATGTCCTCCATGCTTCCGTTTTATGAGGGTCATGGACTGGCCATTTTTACAATTAACATCATAAAATCTCAAAATTTTCCTGACAAGATCACCTAAATCTAAGAAAACCTCACATAATGACTGCATCAATAAATGATTCAGAAAATCTGATTGGAATTAGTTTTAGGAGCCACTTTTCTGAGTAAAGATGCTGAAATTAAAAATCAAGCTTTGAAGTTGCTATTATGAGGATCTTGGGAATAGATCAAAGTAACAACTAGAAAACAATAGTCATTAATAACAATTGTACTTATACATAGGGGTACTCCATTCAGTGTATTATAGAGCTGTATGGGTAATTAAGACTCTAAAAGGGGCATATAACCATCATTAATGGGCCATGTCCTTTAGTTTATATAAAGTTTATTGTTATAATGTCTTCAGTTCTGGTGTTCCCATAAAAATGACCTACTCAAAAATATTTGAATTCAACAAGGATGTTTCCCCATTTTCTCTGACAACAAGGTTTAAAATATAACATTCCTCTACAGTATTGAATGCAAACTACATGTCTGTACACTGGTTCATTGAAAATTTCTCATTTTCTTTGTCAATCATGCAAAATAAAACATAAACTCTGATTATTTTGCAGGAGGTTGCATGTGTTTTGACAAAATGGGTCCATGGGTCTTTCAGTTCTTATTTTATGTGTGTTTTATTTCATGCTATTTCAGATAACTTCACAAGTTCTGCCCATTCACAAGATTCTTTGTTATTGACCTGTGAGTGAAACATTAGGAGGTTCATTTTAAAATGCAGAACAGAGTGGAAAAGAGTGAAAATGGCAAGGAATTTGAGGTAACAACCTTAAAATTGACTCTCTCAATTGTACAAAAATGATTAAAAATGAGAGATTTCATCTCGAATTTAGAGAAAAATGGAGAGATATATGCATGATCAGGGGTGGAATTTGAACATGGGATGTCCCCATTATATTGAGTTCCATCAAGATGAGAACATGAATATTCATTGTCTTTCAAATGTTACTAATGGCTTATTAAAGAACCATTAATCATAATGGCAAAATCTAGGGATTCCACCCTCTTTGATGTCACAGGGGTGACATTTTTAACATCGTAATTTTATATTTTAAACTTTTTCAAGATACATTTAGTTTTGCTATTTTTATTTCATTTAAATTAGGGATGGTGTCCATTTTCAACAGTTGTGGAATAAATTTAGTTTTGTTAAGGGGAAGGGGGTAAATACGGTTTTGTTATTGAATAGTGTTGATTTTTCAAAAATTCAAATTATGTTAAGGGGTGAAACCCTAACGAAATTAACTTTGTTTTTCTGTGATGTTAATAATTGGAGACAATGCCTTAGGCAAAATGACAAATTTTACTCTTTTCAGGGAACAATGAAGTTATTATGTTGAACCTGTGTCTGTAATGGGGAAAGGGGTACAAATGGCTAAGAATATATTTTCTGTTATTTTTGTCTTCAATGCATAGGCTCAGAATATGGTCAGAACTTTGTACATCAGGGAGATGAAGCTCTCTTTTAAAAAACCAAAATCAAACTATATTGGGAATGGTAATTCTTCTGAATTTCAGCTTTTTAAAAAATAATGTTCCCCAATGTACAACTCTAATAGAGTGCCCTTAAAGTGGCATCATATTATATCATCGGTCTGGCTTTGATGTGGCATCATGTTATTCTGTTTGGAATTCTGTCATTACATTATCAAACAAATGGCAAACTATCACACATAAATTATTAATGATATCAGGCCTCTCGGATGCAGAAATAGTGTTCTTTGGATTAGCTGGTCAAACTAGTCCCCTTTTTGCATATGCGTCAAATCAAATACTTGATTTGTAACTGGATGAGAGAATTAATAATTTGAATTTACTCAGTTAACCCGAAGAGGTGAATTTCTTCTGCTTATTATCCTGGATGATTTATTTATTTTGTGGGATTTATGTATTTTGGTGAATAAACATATTGTATTAACATTACCCAGAGAGAAAATATCTTTAGTCATGTTTTTTTCACTCTATTTCTCTTTAAAATTTGAATGAAGTGTATAATTTTCTAACTTTTGTATACAATTTAGTGTGTTAACTTCATGTCTGTTTACTTTATTCCTTGCTAATTCCACTCTTTCCAGCTTTATTTTGCGATTTAAAACATGGCCGCCATTAGACTGTGTATTTGTTATTGATGCGAGGGGGAGGAGATGGAGTTATTCACAAAAGGATTATACCAAAGTGCTGTCAATATTTCTCTAGTCAATTATACATCAAGGTCATGACGACCTCTGACTCATAAAGCTGGTTTCATTTACTTTAATCAATTTGTCAATCAAAAACTTTTTTGTCTTAAGGTCTGTTTAAAATGTAAATGTGGCGGGCCTTTGATGTTTCTGGAGCGTTTTATCTCAAGAGCGCACTGGGCTTTTCTGTTTTTGTGCAGTTTTTCAGTGCTGGACTTCAAAATACAGCAGTTAGATTTACAATTTTTCTTTAAATTACTGTTTGTGATCAGCCTACTTATGTATGTAATATAGGAAAAATAAGAAAATGTAAAACTGGATTTACTTTCTCATGATTTATCTAGAATGTACCAAGTTTATGTGAAAGGGCATCTTAGGCTATTATTGTCAATTTTCAAGAGTATTCCAAATTTGCTTTTGCAGGAAAGTGGTGTGTCGTGTAGAGTATTGGAAACACATTGTTGACTTGCCTCTCAATTTCAATATTTTAATGAATAAACCATACTTTTCAAAACATGTATGCATATTTTTAGGGTAGCGCCTTTCGGATGAGAATCCTCCACCCCCCCCCCCCCCCCCCTTGAAGAGTCATCGTTGGATAGAGGTGAGATTATGTTGATTTAAAAAAATCATTTTACAAATGTTGATTTTGAAAATATAAATATGAATAACACCTCCCAATATATATAGAAATATAAGGGGGTAGCAAAGAGTGAGTCTGCTTATTAGGTTCAGAATGGCAAAGTTTTTCACTGTTAATCAATCAGTCAATGGCTGTAAAATTTGTCTCAATGAAATCAATTCCAAGCAACTTCCATAGTAGTAAATGTAACAAGCTTTCAATCACTCATTCTTGAGAATACAATCTGATTGGTTTTTCTTTTTGCAATAAATAAAGCCATTTTGAGCATTTCTCATTTTTAAAGTTCTAATAAGCCCTTGCTATTCCATTCCTATTTCTCTATTGAACGTGTTGTTGCATGGGTAGTTATAAATATTTTAGTTTTGAGGCTATTCTCCCACTTTGTTAACACTCTAAGGCAATCTGTATCTGGTAAGGCTGGAAATCTGTTTGCTCATGAGCCAGAAATGCTTTGAAGCCATGGCCTTATTTCAACACAACCTGAATGAGGTGAGGCTAGAAGAAACTGAGATGACAGATTTTGTCAGTATTACCCTCGCTTAAGATACAATTCCATTCTCCATATGACCCAGGAATAAAATGACCCATGGTCACAATTTGGTCATAAAATCCGAAACTAGAAAATGGAGAATTCAATATGAAATATATTATCTCAGCCAATACATTGATGTTGACTTTTTAAAATTTCGAAATATAACGTCAACAAAGGAAAATCATAAGAAACAGATCTAAGAAGTGGTGTTTAAAATATCCATGACAAAGTATACTTGTTTCTGGTCATGTCTGGTTCCACATTTTTGTGTTTAACATTGAATTTCTTGCTTGATTTTCTGGTTTCCAGATCTGGTTTAGTGAAAGAAAATGGAATAATCACAAATAGAGACCCATGTTTTTTCTTTGGTTGACTTCGAGGGTGGGGCATTTTCATCTTCATCTTCAACCTAGACTTTGCGTGCAGGGTAGGCATTTTGTAATCCACTGTTTAAATTGGTTTTCTTGGCCTATTATAAACCAGAAGGTCAATGTGTTTTAAATTCAACTTGTCACAATAATTTTTCCCTAATCACCAAAATGTATCAACACATTGTCTTAAATCATAACACCATTAGGAAAGAGACTCTTTATGAACAGAAGCTCAGGATATTGTGTTTTAGAATATGCTCTCTGGACAGTGTTTTTTATAAACAATCAATGTACAGTTAATTAGAATATCCTTTCACCTGGCGTAACAGGTAAAGTTATTTTGAAATTTTGAATATTTTATTTTGACATCAAGTTTCCAGGATTCTGAGGGCTTGTATTGAGGATGGTATTTTACTTTATAAGGTGTGGGGGTATAAGAGGCAGCCGAGCTGGTTAAACTCTCACTTTAAACATCAATGTAAAATTATATAAACTTATGGAAAAAATAATACAGGAAGTTGCTCAAGATCCATCATGTTACATGGATAGATATCAATTAAGTTTGATAATTGATATTTAGTGTAATTTTGATGTGATTGATATTTGATCAATCCTAGATCTTAGCAGGTTGGAAGAACAAAAATGGTCTACTGTACCTGGCTTTTTGCAATTCTAGTCTGCTCTTCATAGACAGCCAAGTTTGGTTTTACAGCTTCCAAAGCTTGCTCACGAGTGATTATTTTCCCCGTTTCCCTGCTTCCTATCACTGGTGTGTGCGCATAGATGGCGCCTATGAAAGTGTCTTGGAGTATTTCATATGGGACATCTTTCGGGCAGGCATTTTGTGCCAGATATAATATCGCTATGGTAACTAGGATGATGTAATTCATCTTGGTGTTTGCTGTTTCAGATTGTTGTTGTTTTTTGCGATGTTTCTCTTAGTCACCACTCTGACTCATTTAACTCTGAAAAGATAAAAAAAAGTGTATTAATTTTATTCAATTATTTGTAGCATATATGCTAGTTTATACATCAGGTTCATAGCCAGGGGGATTGAATGAATTCACCCCCCGGCCAAAAATTATTTTAAAATAGTGTTTTCACCATTTTGAGTACCTTTCAGGTGATTTTGGGCTTGGATTTTAGAATTGTAAAATTTGAACCTCCTGGAATTTTTTAAATCCTGACCCCCCTACCCAATCTGCTTGGCAAAAGCTGGCTATGGGCCTGTACATTATACACTAGACTCAAGGTAACATTGAGAGGGAAAATCAGTGTTAACCCAAAATAAAAGATATTCGAAAATCTGCTTGTAAGAATGATAAAATGATGAGTCCTTTGGGTTCATACCTACAGTACATGAGGTTTGAATTTTTACCACAATGTTTATTTGTTCATTTAACAAGTTCCTCTCTCCATCCCAATAGATCTCCTCCCCTCAAACATTTGAAAATGTTTGTTTGTTGCTTGGTGATGATATGTTGGGACTGATATGTTGAGAACGCCCCCCCCCCCCCCCATTTGACCCATTTAACATTCATATTTGAAAACAATACAAACTTTTTTTAAATTAAATTATTGATAAATATAAATATTTTCTTTAACTTGTGACTACTACATATAATAAAAACACTAATTTGAAATATTTAGTAAAAAAAGAAATAAAGAATTTTTTTGTGTACAAATGATTATTCAATTCATTATAAAAGACAATAAGTAGACACACAGGCTGCCTTAATGATGTAGCTTTCATGGATTTAAAACTATGTAAAGTAAAGTTGGGATAATTGAGAAAAATAGTAATTCATTATAGTATTTTAATTAACACATAAAACTGAAATAAGTAGACATTTTCAGCAACAGCATGTACTGAATAGGATATGAAGAAAACTGTACCACAATATAAATCTCTCATCATAACTTTTTTTAAGTTTCTTTTAATCTGTTGGAAATGATCTGTGTTCCCTTCACCAATAACTTGTGAGGATTTTCCAAAGTTTTGATTTTAACATAAAGAGAAATCAGTCAAAGTACAAAAGTACAAAAGTTCATTATATTGATTTAATAAGTATAAGTACCTAATACACATATCAACTAAAAAGATTAAGAATCATATATATTGACTTAATAATTATTAAGTGCCAAATTATATCCTCATTATAAAATATTTTCAGCATTCTAGAATTTACTTACATAATTTTAATCGATCCAAAACACCCTACAAACACTTCCTAAGTATCATTCAGCAAGAATAAAAAATATCCAACGTTCAGTGATCAGATTATAATTGACTATTAAACATAACATCTCCCACTGGGTGATAGCTGCATCTAAACCAGCCTCCTTGGTATAGAATGAGGGGAACTGATCTCAATCTCCAAGCAAATCCCCCAGAGCAATCATTCCACTGGTTGGAGGTAGGCACTGGACGAACTGCTAAGGAGTATGAAATGATCTATGTCAAATCAACCTCAACCATTGCTGTATATATTGGCATTGGCAGGTTCGAGTTCTGAGACGATGGATCAGTAATTCAACTATATTTGACAGGGCTATAAAACAACTAAAAATCATCGCGATAGCCCCCCAGGGGCGGATCTGGGAACCAACAAGGGGGGTGGGCCAAACTTGTGGTCTGAGAAAAAACTTCCGCGCTTGTGCGGAAAAAAATTTTGGGCCCCATAAACCCAAAAGTGGGCCCAAATTTTGAAATTTTGAGGCCCATTTTCTTCAAAATTTGGCCTAAAATTAACAAATAAGGCCTTACAAGGCCAATTTATGACCAAAAAGGCCTACTTTTTGGGGCTTTAAAGCCTTTTAGGCTCAAGATTTTTTTTGGGCACAATTTTTTTTTTCTGGGCCCACCCAAGGGGGGGGGGGGCCGGGCCCCTGGGCCCCCCCCCCCCCCATATCCGCCAGTGCCCCCTTTGTCTTTATCCTTCCAAACGGCAGATAAGAGAGGCTCTGGCATACCAGAATGACTAAAAATCATTTATGTGGCGGGTATTTTTTGAGTTTTTTTTACAGTCCTCCTAAATCATCTTTACACTGTCCCTTCCCCTCAAATTAGTTAGAGCCTCTCTCTGGATACAATATGTCCAAAAACCCTTTCCTAAAATATGATGATTCCAGTTATCCCCGACTGGCAACAGATCAACTATTCCAAAGTGAAACTATGGACATCTCCCCTCAAAACTGGTTCAGTGTCACCACCTGCCATTTGTTACAGACACCAACCGCCTAACACCAACCGCCAAACACCGTCCAAAAAGGTTAGAGAACATGTCACCACGTGTGGTGGTCACATAATGATGTCAGAGTGAACTAACATTTGCAGAATCAACTTCTATTCCTAATGGCGAATGCCCATTATGGTGGCTCTTTAAGTGGGCCATAACTAAGCAATGCACAATGAAACCGGATTGTCAAAAGATGGTCCAACTACTCATAATTGATCTATAACCCTAAAATAAACATAAAAACCCTCAATCTCCAGTGCAGTTTTTATGTTCTGTTTCGGTGTTACAGACACTCTTTGATGTGGTGCGGAAAAAGCGTAGTGAATCAACGTTGGAATCAACATCTACACACACATGGCGTTGTAAGAGAAAAGTCGTCGTATTAGCTTTATCTGCCAGATTATTTCACGTTTATCTCGCCGATTCCTCGCATTTCTCCCCAAATGCATCCCTGATATGAATCTTTTCTTAAGTTTCTATAAAATGTAAAATATCGACTTCAGGGTTTTTTATTTTCTTCATGGCGTTCTGTTTCGTGTTTAATTGATTTCCAAGGGAACTTTTCAATTTTATCGACTGGCTAACTTTTTTACTTAACTCTCGAAACGCAGTGAAGCTTGAAGAATCCTTAAACCTGAAGAGTCTTCGATTACAGTTTGACTTGCAGACGAACATGTTTTTTTTCGTGTCATTTTGAAAAGGTGAATTGTAAATGTCATTTATTCAACAAGATAAGTGCTCTAAGATTGACTGTGAACGTTTGAATGGGATATACAAATATGGGACGCGCTTGCAAGAAGGCACGATTTGCCAAACTCAAAATGACGGCATCATGCGTACGCAGGGCCGGACGCAAGGCTCCAGGCATTATCATCCGAACACAGTTATCCCTCTTTCCCTGCTTTCCTTCCTTCCGTCCTTGCTTTGAAGGGTACAAGGGTTCTTGTTCAGTATTAACAGGATTACTAGTTCAAACCAATTTTAAATCATCAAACCTACACGGGCTTCTTTGATTTTGATTCAGAATGAGTGAGGGGTCGCAATGGATTGTACTTTAGAAAACATTTAAAGAAAAGTAAATCTTTTTTATCATGTAGGATGTTTTGATCCTCCAAGAAATTATAAGCTTTTTAAGTTATAAATAGAAACACCCACGTCGACCTATCGGGATTTTTAGCAGGGTAAGCACATTAAATCCCAAAACAATATTTAACCATTGTTGGACCCACAGTCTCTTGTAGTTTATATTTAGCCTCTGCGCGCAGGGTGTCCCTTGGGCAGAGAGACTCAGCTGATAAATCAGAATGGTATTTAATAAGTTACCTGATTTTCGTCAAAAATAGAAAAAGGTGTTTAACATTTCCCAATGTTATATTAAGGGACGTCCTGACTTTGCCCACCAACAGACATAGTGCCCCTTTAACAGGTTTAAACACTATTATAACTAGTTTCGCAAATCAGGTGGGTGTGTGTTTCAGAAACGCTTCACTGGATGAATTGTGCGATTGACCACACCGCTCGTAATTCATAAGAGTCTGCTGATATTTTCAAGCACATTTATTGCGGCAGTTGTGGTTGAAGGTTTAATGTTCCGGTAGCCCACAATACAAGAAGTTCTAGGTTGACAAATTAGTTAGATTTCGATATTTTGTCAGATTTGGTTAAATAGAGAGTCCAGATGGAACATTATGATCTGACCATGGAATGCGAACAGGATCTACGAAATTAAAACTCCTCGTAGTTTCAAGTAGTTTCCAATCTATTATAAAAAGTCATCATGCATGACCTACATCCACGTATTATGTAGGTCTGAGACTGTTAACGTTCTTCAAACCAGAGACATATATATGTTTTATATGTGTCTGTTCAAACAAACAAACAAACAGGCAAGCAAACAAACGAACAAACAAATTCCGGACATATATGCGTAGCCGTCATCCTTTGATCCAATAGTAAAAGGAAGATGCAGATGCATAATATATATATAGTTTGATATGCTAATATACAGTTCAACAGTTTCATCATCGTTGTTTTGATTTACGAGTCAAAAGCCAAATCTTATCAATCAAGCACTTGTTAGATATATCAGCTAAGTGCTTCTTTGACTCGGGGTCTTGCCTAAAGATGCATTACCATTCACTTTATTTAAAGCATTATTTTAGATATTGAATAAATATCTTAGAGCAACTTCTTATGTCTTTTTGATAACTTAATCCATTAATCGGTCAACTAAATATTACCGTGATAAATGAACAGTTATCTGTAAGATAATTTATAACTTGTAAAGTTGAACGATTTTATTTTTTACTTTATTTCATGGATTTTTATCATTGCTGAATAAATCAGAGTAAGCAATCAATCAATCAATCAAACAATCAAAAAATAAACAACCTTTGAATAACGAACGTTGTTGATGTTGCTATTTTGGGTTCCTGGTTTAATTTCATGCTCATTTAAACCATCTCATAAATTCTGTTAATGTCTTTATAAAGTTATTTGTAACTATTCCTAGGTTCTTTCTAGTTGTTTGAGGTGGTTTTTGCCGATAAAAAGTCATTTCCACGTCTACACCACAATAGTGTGGAGATACCAGGCAGATGATACCATAAAAAACATTATGTTTGAAAATACAATATGTTTTTGATTGGTTGCAGTTTTGTATAAAGTTACTACCCCTTCAATGTTCTACCTTTACACGGAGATTGACTTTGCTTCCTTAAAAGAGAGTTTCATATACATAATTAATACTAGGTCCTGTGCCCCATTGTTCTAGTTTCTGTCAGGGAATCTTTTACCTGCCCAATTTAGAAAAGAAAATGTGTAACAATGTATTTTGATGTAACAAGTTGATAACATGTTATTCCAATTTTATTTTCTAATTTTGGTGTATTTTGGATCAGTCCATTTAAGGCAGATAAAAAATAAAAATAAAAAAGGCAGATATGGAAGATTGAATCTGCTAATCAACTTGTGCCCTTATCAACTTGTGCCCTTACACTTGTCTTTACGTTTGCTTTAACTTGCAGGCACACTAAAACCGTCAGATTAGACCCAACTAAATGGCGATGTTGGAAATAGAGAATCTAGAGGCTTGACAGTTGACACTTACTGAGATGTGAAAAAGCTGGTGTTGCAAAAGCAGAATTTCATCAAAGGATACGACACACAAATGAAAAACACTTGATGGTCAGGGATCTCATTTTTGACAGCCATCAGACAAAATGTTTCAAGAACTTCCATGAACAGGATGTGTTTTCTGTCAAACCCTGCCTGTCTGGATTGGAAACCATCTTAATATACAATATACCATGTGTAGCTGAGTGATTGAAAGCCATTGAGACTTTCCATACGTTTTTAACCTCTTAAGTACAAAGAGCGACATTTTTGTAAAATTGTACAAAATTTAATATACATATGATACAACAGTAATGTAAATATGATCAAATTGCAGTTTTTATGTCACCACACCAAGTGGTCTCCAACTTTTTGTGTATGGTCATGGGGCGGTTGGTGTTCGGCAGTCGATGTTCGGCGTCTGTAACAAATGCCAGGTGGTGACATTTTGCATGTTAAATGCCTTATACTATGTATGTTACTAAAACGAAAAGGGGAGAAAATACAATGAAAACTTAAAAGCGCCTTAAGATTGAAGGGAATGTGGTACTAGACAGAGATGTAACGTAAGACTAAGCATAGCCTTTAAGATTAAGTGGAAGGGTTTTAAGATAAAAGCAAAAGATCACAGCTCATTTATGAAAAGACGACACACTCAAAATTAAGAGTCTAAAAAGCTTACTCATTTCAAGGTGACTAATTGCTTTTTAATTACATTTTCCAGACTCGGATCAATTGATATAATTTATGTAATATATTTTTTCTCATCAATCACTAATTTGACAGGCCCTTAATTGCATTATTTAACCGAACGTATCCCACTATTCGTGCCCATTTCCTCGGTTTCCTTTGATTGAAATATATATCTTGCCTTTATGTTGATTTAAAGGGTGACGCATATCGTTTAGCAAATCGAACGCTCGTTTCTGGTGTTGCTCACCGTTTAGTATAAAAGGCCCGATCCCGGAATAATACTCAAGGGTTCACAGGTTCGAGGTCGTTGTGTCAACACCTCTAACTGTTATATAGCATAAGTATATTATAGATCGTCACACATTTATAAAAGGGTGATTTTTATTTTGACAAATCAATTCCACATTTATGGGTGAAGTTTCAGGGTCTTCTATTTGTGTATAATAAGGAAAAATTGGCATCTAAATTTCCCCATAACGTAATAGCACACAGCTTGGCATATGAAATATCCTACAAATGAAACAAAGCAAGACAAACCGGTTTCTAATACAAGGATTTATATTGGCTGTTGTACATGTATTCTTTGAACGCAATCCCTCTTTGGATAACGTTTTCAAAATCATTATAAACGGATAACTTTATCTCAAAGACAATTTCAATAAACTGGATTTTTCAGAACTCCCCTTATTTCTTAAAAATGGACTGATCCAGTTGATTCGCCTGGGGCCGCCATATTGTTTTTATACGGGATGCTAATCGGAACCCTTTAAAACACTTTTACAAAAACCTGGAATATTTTCATGTTGTTTCTTTGTTTATCAATCCTTGCAAATAAAAATCAGTATTCACAATGGCATTATATGGTGAGCCGTCAATTGCAATGTGTCCGTTACTCGACATGGTTCGAAACTAATAAATTCTTAGCACGTTAGTAACTTGAATTAGCACGATATTGAATTTTCGCTAACTGTACAAGAAGATTTCGTACATTGTTAATAAATAGTGCTTTTAGGGAACACATATCTCATGTTCTCCGAAAGGAAAAACCCGGTGGTTTGAACAATATGTACATTAATTCTTTATAATAATCATTATTTTCATAAATGTATTATTTTTGGCTGAGTGGAAAATTCAAAAAACAAAAGCTATAAATGAACCAAAAAAACAAAAAATTAAACAAAGCTCGCAGAGAAAAAATGAAATTTTTGAATTACCAAGTCGGAAGCCGTTTACATTTTTTCCAAAATGTTGACATGGTATCTTTTGTGAAAGCTCCCGAAAGGTTTTGACCATTGAGGTTTTGACTGACCAGATTTCTACTCCTGAACTGTCATTTGATTTGTAAATACTATAAAGAGATAAATGGCTTTTGTTGGACAAACTATCCAGAAGTCAATTTTCAAGTTTCTATCAATGATTAAAAATATTTACGACATTTGTTGACAAATTCGTAATCCACACAAGGTACCTCATGATTTACAAATCGAAATGGTATTGGTCACACGAGGTCACGTGATTAACTTGGGTATCTGGGAGCGGGCCAGATGGAACCTCCATTGGTAGGTTGATGATAAGAGAATGATGCACCGCCAATAACGCTCGTATATAATTTTAATGGTCCCTCGTTTGCGATTCTATGACAGTTATGGTTAATTTGACCCCAAAGCTGACCGTTCAAACCTATGGATCGACCCCTGTCTCTGTCTCTGCCTCTGGCTCTGTACCATGGAAACAGAATCAGAAGTGACAACCAGGATGTTGTATGATTGTGTATATTATGGAACCATGATCAGATTATTGATAGACTCGATCTGGTACCCCCCCCCCCGTTTAAACGATTACATTGAGGCCGTGTGTAAGATTCAAGAGAACGAAAAGGAATCAAATACAAATAGATAAATAAGACAAAGATTAAAACAAAAGGAAGATTTTTTTATATGGAGGTATCAATTCACGATCAATTTCTTTAGCTTAAAAACACAAATAATTCACTTACAATATCCTTTGGGGGCCCTCCTTTGGTATTTTGAGTTTTGTACTCTAAAATTTCAATTTAAGTCTTTTAATGTCTTTTTCATATCTTTTTCAGTTGAAAATCATTGAAATTATATGTCATTATAGAAATTAAATATTTTTTGCATAAGCTTGGATTCAAAATAGCGGCGGAAAAAAATTAACGAAAAAACTACTCCTGTAACTACGAAGAACAAAATGGTAACAGCTTCCGGAGAAAAAATGTAGATTTTGCGGACCACAATGTGTGTATGGTGATAATTCATACAAAAAATTTGCAGTGTCACGTAAATGAACTCAAATGAACGGATCAACCGGGTGAACAACCAGAATTATGTCATACTACCTGTGATTGTAATACGATTGTAGCAATAGCTCAAGTACCGAGATGAACTTCATTATCTTCATGATTGATATGACAAAATTATCCAAATTGCAAGTCATCTTTCAATATGAGAAACGGAGATTTAGTTGGAATTGAAAAAGTGAAGAAATTAAACAGAAGTGAAATCAACACTGTATATTAAAGAAATGAAAGAGTATCAGATTCGATAAAGTACTAGCCTACTAGAGTTAAATATAATATTTGAACAAGGATATGTCATTTTGAACTAGGCTAAGTAATTATTAATCAATTTTCTTTTACTTATCAATTCAGTTCAACAACTATTGATGAACTTACCTCAGGTCTTTCTTGTTCAGTTGTTCTCGAAACAATTGTTTCTGGAAATATTTTCACCAATCTTTCAGGCTATGAGTGCATCTTCAGCATTTGATTCCTCGAATCTGTCCTTTTCTGCAACTTATCTTGTTTATATAGAACGATGATGAAATTGCTACTTTTTTGATTTAATTCCAAAGTGCACCTTTCACGTAAAACGACTGATATGTGAACAAGTCAGTGGTTGGACAATAGGCCACTAGTGATGACACCACAAACTATTCTAAGTCTTCTTATCTATATTTTATTTGGCTTAAATCATATGATGTCTTACGTTCACGATCTGGTCTAGTTTTTCACATGGTGGTTTGCGGCACTTGCTCAAAGTCCAAAAATAAAATTTTGATGGTCATTCCGGACCTTTCATTTGATGCATCGGTCTATCTTCCAAGACATTAAATTAACATAATCTCAAACTCATTGCAGGGTTTGTTCAATTTAGAGACATGTCCTTGTGTAAAGTAAATACTTTACTAGGATAGCCAATTGTAACCCTGCGAGGAATACAAGGATTTATGAATGGTACGTCCATTAGCATTTATGAAGTAGATTTTGATGTCAGTAAATCATTTCTCGGTTGGGAAATTGACAGCTCTCTGGATACAGCATCGAAACAAAGGCAGTAAAAACGTGACCATTTGGCCCCCAGTGACCACATATTAGGACCAGTTCACATAAACTCGGGAATTCAAGGGTTAACTTAAATAGCAATGTTGATTTGAGGTTTAATTCTTTGACTTTGATTTTCAGGTGACAAGCGAACCTCTAAAAGTTGACCTGAAAATGAGTGATATGTAAACATCTTCTACCCACTCGGAGGAGACTGAGAGAGTTATTGCATGAGCCAAATATGCCCATAAATCCTACTAAGAGGTATCTCCATCGGGAGACAATGGGGAACATGTCAATATGACTACTTCAAAATATAGTGGCATCACGCATTCACGATCAAAAATTATAAATCCTAAAATGAAGACTATAAACGCAATGCTGAATGTACTTACGTTCATTTAAAAGATGAATTAAAAGATAAAATAAAATGTTAGTTCTTCATTTATTATTTGTTATGAGAGTTGCGTTCCTTAAATTACGTTTGCTTCTTGTTGTATGCAACATAATTTCATTGAATTAAGGAAACTAGCCAACTATGCAATTTGAAGTGTTGTTGTTTTTAGGGAGGGGGGGGGTGTTCTTTGAGCCTGGTTCTACTTCCGCCGTTCACCCCTACAATATCATACTCTCTCAGATTAATTTTCATTCCCATCGTCACCAGTGCCAACCATCTTATCTCATACGTAAAGTTGTGTTTATATGTGAGATAAGGAAACGGGACCAGACGCACCGTGATTGATAGATGTCCATCAGAGAACGATTATGTGGCTTACTTTAATGTACGATTCGTGACTTTTCCCTTTAATCAAGTCTGAGAAAGCAATATTTTTGAAAAAGTGGCGTCCTCTTTTAATTGTAATGAATTTGGACGGTTTATTTCATTCTTTTTTTGAATAAGTTTTTGTTCAGAAAACTCCTTTTCAGATAATGAAATGAGGATTGCAAGGGAACATAGCCATGTCTATTTAAAAACGTATTTCCATAGTAATAATCTGATAATAATATTGGTAACTCAGTGGACTGAAACCTTTCAATATTGTCGCGGAATATAAATGTAACTAAAAATATAACTGTATAATGGCGAATATCCGTGCTTGTCAAATATGCCAACGAATGACTATTAGTTCATCTTCATTTATTCAATTCGTAATTACTTCAGCGACATCTTTATAACAGCTGTAGGTATAAATCAACTTTCTTTCATCCCTGCCAGCCACATACAGAAGGTTTAAAAACAGGAAAATTCAATTAATTTTTAAAATATCTTTAAACAGGTCGTTAATTTTTGGTATTTAAAGATGCCCATAAATATCTGTACAGCTTTATACATGGCTAATCAGAAGCCAGTGTTGAATCCTATTGCGGTCAATGTAATTAAGCTTGTATTCGCAAATGCAAATAACGGCTATCCGCTACTGGATTAACCTACTATTTTATGGGCAACTCATTTAATACGAATAGTGCCACTATTTCACTCACATTTGAATGAGTTGTTCATACAATAGTATATTAATCCGGTAGCCGACAGCCGTAAGTTTCATTCGCGAATATAAGCTAAGTAAATGAACATCTACTGATGTAAAGTCAAGACCAGTATCTTATTAACTATTTTTTCTTAAATCAGACGTCTAAAACTAGCGCCTTAAATTAAAAGTGCCACTTTAAATGTCTAGCATACTGATATGAACTTTAAATTTCATAACTTGAAAATCGATGAAATAAATGTTAACAATGCAATTTGTTTTATAATTATTAATGCTATTCCGCCCAGAGCGACATAATAGGATAAATATATGACATTAAACAAATTTATGAACGTAATGGATGGTCTGTATTGAATACTAGTATGTAAATCCAGGAATTACCAACATAAATTTCCCAATGCCGTTGTAATCTGAGGAGTATACAAAACAACAGTGAGATAACAAGATTTTTCTAAATTATTATTTAAAAAGTATTTATTCTTTGACTGATGTTCCTTCTTTTTAATAAGTATTCGTATAATAAATTATGGTTTCAGAAAACAATTTCAGGGCGAAGTCAGGATCAAAAAAAGAGGAGGCAAAAGTCTATATACAGGGCAAAAGGCTAAAAGGTGTATATTAGCATTGTTAGTGTTCATTTCCACAGTTTTTGTTGAAGAGCATCCGAAACATAAGCCCTGAAACATGTATACAAAAAAATCGAGTCGAATACCACCACTTTGTGCACATTTTTTATACATGTTCCCGGGCCTTTGATCCGAAAAATGTAGTGCCTCGCTTGGCTCAACTCATGAGGAATTATAAGTTGTGGACTTGATTCTCGAGAGAAAATGAATGAATTTAGACAAAGCAAAACATTGCTGAACTTTCCTTTTTAAAAATGGTCATTTCTTCATCCTAGAAAAATCCAATTATTGATTATTGTTCCTCAAAGCAGCAACTATGTCCACAATTCACTCTGTTTGTATTTTATTGCTGTTTTCATCACTTTGACCACTGGAAGCCTTTTCTTCAGATTGACTACTGAATGTTCTTTTCTTTAAAGGAGAATTAAGGGGAGTAGCTTGTTTCCTCAGTTTACGTCCTTTCCGTATATCCTTCAATAAATTGTCAATTATACATCCGGGTTCTTCTTGGTGGAGCTGAAGGGAATTCTTAGCACCGCCTGAAATATGGAAGAGTAGTATAGTGTGGTTATTTAGACCTCATATGTAACACCATAACGTGTCATACCTGCCAACCTACCGTATTTTTACGGGAATCTACCGTAAATTTTTCGTTTTTTCCGTAAAAAATGACAAACTACCGTAAAAAATACCATTTTTTTCCCGTAAAAACGCCCGTAAAAAATCTACCGTATTTTTTCGTAATCTACCGTAAATTTTATTTTTAAAAAACTCGTTTATTCCATGAGAACGGCCGTAAAATCAACCGTAAATTTTTGAAAATCTACCGTAAATTTTCGAAAATCTACCGTATTTCTGCTTAACTCAACAGTATTTTTGTTCAAACTACCGTAAAATTTCCCGTTATTGTTATTGGGAAATGCTGAAAAATTGAAGTCTTCCTGTACTGTCCCTGTAATATTCCTTCACCAACCCGAATATAAATAGGTATCGGCGGGTCTGTGGTTATCAGGTTATTGCGCATTAATCTAAGTAAGCTTGCGTGTAATCAGTCCAAACACCAACTACCACTAGCTAGAAAGAATTCTTTCTGCCATGATTTTTGTAGTTAACCAAACCTGCAAACCCTTTTGTACACAGATCTTTATTCCGAATGCAACGAAATTATGATTTTAGTTGTGCTTCATCTGAATGAATGAGTGGAAATGCGTATGCATATTTAGCGTATGAAATATGCGTAGTTTGATTTGTTATGATCAGTAATGAACGCCACATATACATTATACATAGTTTAATCAATTTGTTTACAGAACGATAAAATGTTGTATTTTTCATCAGAACACATTATCAGTAACAACTACAAAAGCATTGAGTTTTGGTTTAATAAAAGTATTGTGATATTCGAATCTGAACGATGTCTCAGGGGAAAGGTTTCAGCAAATGCTCATAACAGATTATTTTTGAAAGACAATTGATCTGTACTTATTTTCTATTTGTGCCAGACAAACACATTGATATCATTAGAGACTTGCGAGTGAACAAATCAATATTTAATACCATATGATTCCAATGTTATATGAACATTATGTCTGTTAAAGTGATAGATCATCTAAGATGGTGAGTAAAAACGTGTAAAATCCATATTTTGTATTTCAGTAAATGTTTCATTCATGGTATTTCCAAACATCCTGATATAAAAAAAACTGGTTAGAAGGTGAATAAAAGTGGAGATATGAATATTGTGTTCGTATTTTGAATCAATCTAGATTTATTGTAAAAGAGTTGTTGCTGTCAGTCCATTGTAGGCATGGTAAATGAAGAATAAAAAGTGTTTAGTCTCTATTTATTCTTGAAAATAGTATATCTATTTTTCTTGAAAATAATAGTTTCGTATAATTCTCAGGTGGTAGTTCTGCTTTACAAACCGTAATTATCAAAAGCACTCTTGCAGTAAAATACGTATTCACAATAACAACAAAAAGTTACAATATGACCAGGTTTAACTACCGCATTTTATAAAAATCTACCGAAAAATACCGCACTTTGGCAAATCGTCCGCAAAAGTACCAGTTTTTCAAAAAATTACCGTAAAAACTACTGCAATTTTCAAAATCTACCGTAAAACTACCGCATTTTTTCAAAATCTTCCGCAAAAGTACCGGTTTTTCAAAAAATTACCGTAAAACTACCGCAATTTTCAAAATCTACCATGAAACTACCGCATTTTTTCAAAATTTTCCGCAAAACTACCAGTTTTTAAAAAAACTACTGTAAAAACTACCGCATTTTTTTCAAAATCTACCGTAAAACTACCGCATTATTTCAGAATCTTCGCAAAACTACCGGTTTATCAAAAAACTACCGTAAAAACTACCGCATTTTTAAAATCTACGGTAAAACTACCGCATTTTTTCTAAATCTTCCGCAAAACTACCGCTTTTTCAAATTTCTACTGCAAAATTACACTTTTTTAAACAATCTACCCCAAACCTCTGAAACTACAGTATTTTTTTTAAAATCTACCGCAAAAACTACCGTATTTTTTAAATCTACCGCAAAAACTACCGTTTTTAAAAAAATCTACCGCAAAAACTACCGTTTTTTCTAAAATCTACCGCAAAAACTACCGCAATTTTGTTGAAAACTACCGCAAAAACCACCGTATTTTGAAACAATCTACCGCAAAAATACAGCAATTTAAAAAAAATCTACCGCAAAATTTTGGTCTTAGGTTGGCAGGTATGCGTGTGATGTTGTGGTGTTGGTTCGTGTAATGCACGAGAATAAGTACAGACATGGGCTTTCAACTAGATAATTGAAAGCCCTAGTACAGAGGAATGTAGTAAGTTATATTGCACCACACATACATGTACCATCACTCGCAACTTTGATCTGACATAAACTTAGTATGGAGAGGATTGCTTTTTCGAATTGTAAATATATTACAGCACAAACCTCTGGAACTACTTGGCTGGTTTTTTCTTATTTCTGCTTGTTCCTTTCGTCTTTTCTCTGCCTTCTCCTCTTGGATCTTTCTTTGCAAGTTTTCCTGAAACATATTCAGGCAATATAACATAAAGATATAGCAACGATACACAACAAATGTGTTATTGATATTTGCATTTGTCATTCATCATTCAACATTTATTTTGATTTATTTTGATTTTTCTTCCCAGTTACATTTTCGGTAATAATAACAAACATCTTTACCTTTTTACACTGCTTTATTTTATCGCAGAATGTTTTAAATGTTTTAAAGCACTCTTCCAGCTTAAATTTTGTCTGATTCTCACAAAAATGGTCAGCCAAATGTGACGTCAGTGAATTGATTTCTGATATGCCATCTTTCAACTTGGATACTTCAACATTTGTATTCTGTAACACAAATATATATGATATAAAATCACAACAAACACAATCTCCAATACAACTGTGACGATCTTAGTAGTACATTCCAAGCAAGAAGTGCTGTTGTAATAGCTAATACATTATCCTCTGAAATATTATTATAGAATAAGGTCACCATACGATATAAACTGCTATTGTGATTATTCAACAAAATTCCTATTAGATTTGGGTGTAACCCCCGTATTACCTTCACAAATAAACAGAATGTTTTTGTGACAGTTTCATCTGGTGGTTTCATATTTTCCAATTGGTTGCTTAGTTTCTTCACACTTTTATCAAGTTCGCTTATTTCACCTGATATTGCTTGTACTACCAGCCTAATGGGATTAAAATTGCATATTTAGATCTTATATTTCGTATATTCGCCTATTTGTACAAAATGTGATGAAGTTCAAAAAGCTGTTTTGCATATTATGACTAGTGTTTTTATATAGGTGTTCATCAAGGGTGTTCATCATTAAACGCATCGTGTATCACATTTTGTGTATCGCTATTGTTTGTACCATACATGATTCAAAGCAAGGAAACTTTTTAAATACTTCTGTATGATTTGAAGAAAGAGAGGTTTGAAGCTTCGTGGATCAGTAAAATTGTACATTGACATCCATTTTACATGGAGAACAGTGAGCTGTATTTTAATTTACCTGGATGCGATGTCCAAATCATCTGATAACTCGTCAACAAACTGAAGGACATCATTCTCACTGTCCATTCCTTGTTGCACCAAATAATGCAACAGTGTCATCCTAGGCTTGTTGGCGCGTGTCTCCACCAGTTTGGACAGGGAATTCATTTTAAAACCAAGTGCATTCCCAGCATAGCCACCCTAGATCATTAAATCAAATTGCAGAAATAGTCCAATCTTTTGGCAAGAAGATATACATCAATTTCACATTAGATAGTGTAAACATAGCCTTGCCCAAGTGGGTCTCTTTTACTTATCTTGATTTCTATTTATGTAATAATTCAAGATCAGGATAAGTAAAAAATACTGACTTGGACAAGGCTAGTGTAAACATAGATACGTCATTTTTGTACTTTTCAAAATGCTAAAATAGCATGGCATATCTGCTGTTCTGTTATTCAAACTTTCAAGAGGACCGTCATATCTACTGGATTATTATAAAGATAAAAGCCATATCCATAAACTGTAGTAGAGAACCCTCGTACTTTACTTACAGCATTGATAAAGTTTCCTGTATGAAGGGCCAACCTTAGGAACTCTTTCAGAGATTTACTTTCCATAAGCGCTTTACAGGTCCGAGTTATCACTTCTATTGAAGGTCTGATGCTATCAAGGGTACTGGAAAGTTCTTCCTGAAGTAGCATTCCCTCTATGCGCATCTTGTAGTGTGGTAGTTTTAGTAAACTGTTGAAAAACTTCTCTGCATTGCCAAGTTTGTCTTTATCGCCATCATATGAGTTTATCATTTCAATCTGCGAGGAATTGTGATTTGTTTATTTGTTAAATATAGTAGATGCAATGGCCAGTCATAACACCAAAATGTCCAGAACATATTAAGGTTCCAATATATACATCTGTAAATTAAAATGTGTGGATTTTTAAAATTATTTATTTTTTAGTGATTCTAACATGGTCAATCATGTTACCTCTTGTGTTTCTGGCAAGATTTTCAGCAATCCTTTCAGTTTTTCAACACCAATGTCTTGTCCATTACATTTTTCAATTAATGCAACGATCTTCTCGTTTGGTGCTTTGAACTGTTTAAGGAAAATGTTTACATTCATGCTCCTTTTCATGTCCAGTAAGTTCACCTGCAACATAATGTACAACTTTTTGATTATGTCTGAGTTAAGACTCTTCTCTCAACCTTTCCTCTCTCGTCTTACCCCTGGGGAGACTTATAAAGGATGCAAAAGTGCAGTAAAATGAAATGGTGAAACACACACACCACTGCGATGTCACTGTTTGAAAAGAAAACATTTTCAATATTAACTGGGGTGACCTGATTAAATATGTGTTACTATAGTGATTTTCAATAATATATGAAGATAATCTTTTCTTTTGTTTACTGACCTCTGTGGAAACCTTTTTGACTTTGGCTTCATCTTTCAAAGATTTATCAATGATCTTCTGGCAGAACAACTCTTCTATGTTTGAATAGTTCACTGGAATAGGGTCTGACAGTTTCAACACGCTACTCCATATCACCTCGTCATCTACAACAAAATTAGACACATTATGCACCAACAAATACTGAACTGATGAAGATATATTGTTTTAACACTACTAGTATTTCATCCTTGCTGCAAGGCTGTGTAGAATTTAAGCATAAATGGATTGCTTTGAAGAAGGATGACACTATTAATACGTATTAAGCTTCAAATTTAAAAGTTTCTTCTGTACAAATGTTTGTATGTTTTGTATGTTACAAACAATTCCACGATGCTTTCAAAATGGAATAACTGCTGTCCATGAGTTTGCTCTGCCCTTAATGAGACAGTAATTAGTAATGTTTGTAATCATCATTGTACAACACACCTCTGGATACTTACTGGACAAAGCATTTGCTGGTACCTTAGTCCAGTTAATTGTTTTCATCTTGCTTCTTGGCGTAGGTGTTGTGATGTTTGGCACATTCTGCACTTTTGGCATTGTTAAAGAAAATGGGAGCATCCCTCCTGGTGGAGGAGGAGGAACTCCTGGACCATTCATTGGAGGAGGTGGGGGTACTCCATTTAAAGGGGGTGGGGGAGGGACACCACTCATAGAAGGAAGCGGCGGTGGGGGAGGGACACTATTTGTTGAAGGAAGTGGCGGTGGAGGAGGGACACCATTCAATGAGGGAAGTGGTGGCGGGGGAGGGACACCACTCATAGAAGGAAGCGGTGGTGGGGGAGGGACACTGTTTGTTGAAGGAAGTGGCGGTGGGGGAGGTACACCATTCACTGAGGGAAGTGGTGGCGAGGGAGGGACACCATTCATAGAAGGAAGCGGTGGTGGGGGAGGGACACTATTTGTTGAAGGAAGTGGCGGTGGGGGAGGTACACCATTCACTGAGGGAAGTGGTGGCGAGGGAGGGACACCATTCATAGAAGGAAGCGGTGGTGGGGGAGGGACACTATTTGTTGAAGGAAGTGGCGGCAGGGGAGTTACACCATTAATTGAGGGAAGTGGTGGCGGGGGAGGGACACCATTCATAGGATCGGAATCTGTATTGGTAGTTTGGCCTCGTGTTGGTCCATTCAATTTGTGTCCTTTGTCATTTTCTCCTTTCTGTGCCATCTGATTTGAAAGTGATTGTTTAATATTTTGCAATAGAAGTGGATTTTTCATCAGACTTGAGGCGGTCTCATCTGTGATTTCTGTTGAATTGTTTACAACTTCAGTAGAAACGTTACTTTTATATGCTGTATAGTCCACATCTGTTTGTATTTCACGGGAAATAGTCTTAATCGTATCATTTAGAATATTAGTTTGCTCTTCAAGAAGAACTGCACTTTGGGTTGCCCGTTCTATCATGTGCCAAGCTGTGTCACTGAAATGTTGAAATAAATGTAATGTTGAAATAAATGACATCTTGTACTCATCTTGTGCAGTCACGCTCCACAATTCATTCCTCATATTGCCTTTTATTTCTAATGTCCCCTTAATACTTTATACTGAGTCGAAGTCTAGATTTCAAATATATGAAATCTTAACTACTGTTTATAACAAGGATTGAAATATGGAGAAAGCCTTGCCCAAGTCGGTCTCTTTTACTTATCTTGATTTCTATTATGATCGCCGGTAATAATTCAAGATCGAATAAGTAAAAAAAATACCAACTTTAATGGGTAAGACTAAAATGGAGATAACAGCTTCCTCTTCCGGTTTGTATTGCTGGGTATAATTGGAGTTGAGTATTCTTACCATGTCTTACTTTCAGGATCGATCTGCAAAAGGTTCTGCAGCACGGAAAGAAGAACAGTTGATTGTGGGGTGCTGCATATCTAAATCCAAAATATTCAACAATACATAAATTGAAAACGTATTCAAGAATATTAATGTTATACTCGTAAAAGTATGGATGTGGATTATATTTGAATTCTACCTTTTGAAAGAGCGCATTGAAGACTTGTTTGTGATCGTTAATATCAGAGACCCCTGGGATGACGTGATCCATAACGTCATCATCGTCTGACCTTTGATCCATGAATACATCATATTGCAGAATGAAGTCGTCGTCATCATTGCTTTCATCATCATTTCCTAATATGTCCAATATTCCAAGACCTAAAATATTTCCGTAATATATTTCCAAGAAAATATGAAAATATTAACAAACCGCATTTTGATCTATCAGAGTCTCTCTTTATTAAAGCTTGCGCCAGTCTATTCCAAGGGTTGGTTCTGGCTTTGGATACCACAATGATCAAATCGTTGTATTATTGGGCATAACATTAACTAAGTGGGGGCATAATCTCCTTGTTGTAACACTTGTCGAATGCGACTTAGTGTCCAAACAACGCAAGATTGTGTCCATCAATCATATACGGTGTCGATAGTGTTGTTGTTGCGGTTGCATTGCCGGTGGTAATTACACTTAGTGCTACAGGGGACGATACACACTCGCTATATACTACTATGCTCAAAACGGCTTTTTGAGATGGAACTATATGATATTTTTGATTTAGAATATTATTTCATTAAATTTGACATATTACACATTACCTATGAATTCATTTCTCAAGGCCACTCTTTTTTCCAATTCCTCGACGCCTGCTAGGAGACAATTCACCAAAGCCAACACAGTTATCCTGTACGCTATTAACTCGCTGGTGCGTAATTCATTTATGATGAAACTAAATCTGTATCTTAAGTTTTTCAATTTCTGAAACAATTAACAGTTTTGGGTTTTATAGTACTGTCATGAAACTGTCACTACTTTTGTTTTGACTTTTACTATATTATACATGGTCTGTTTTGTGTTGTTAATGTTTTCACTCTTGCTGTTTACATTTTTATATTGTTTTTCTTGCTATAAAATTCTGATAGTTAGTACATTACTTTAAAGAATTCCAGGGCATCCAGGGCTAGTTCATGTCCTTGGCTTGAGTAGAGCGACATCGCAGACAGCAATTCTAGGATTTGCTTCTTCACCATCACGTTGTTAGTGTCCATAGCTAAAATACATAAATTATGGTATACCTTAAACAACATCAAATAGAATGGACTCGAAAAAAGGATTATACAGAGTATGTCTGTTTATGTCGTCTCTGTAGTCTTTTTTCAACACAGGGGATTTAGAAAATAATAAGATTCACAATTATCTGGGGGCCAGGTTAAAGATCGTCTTGGGAGAGAACTTCGCCTCCCACTTATTGTATTGTATTGTATTGTATTACATTGTATGTTTACCACCAATGAAGGTGAGCAATACATCTCGGATATATCCCGTATACGGTCGTTATTCACGCAAGTAATCCTGAAAGACAGACCCGGTGTGAAAGAAATTATGGTCCCCAGGGATTATGGTACCCCTTTTAAAGGCCCTTACTGGCCCTGATTGTGTATAAGATAATAAGGGAAAGAGCACAAAGAGGTCACCATATAAATCAATGGAGAGTAGGACCATAAATTAATAGGACCTCCTGCTCTTTTACACCGGGAACCCCTCCTGAAGGAGTCCTGTGTTCTATTGTGTGCACTCATACATAGAAATACGGAGACACACCACAGCCTTTTTAGTTATGGACCTCTAAGTCATACACCTTGAAGTACTGGGGATCGAATCCGAGACCTATGCGAGAAGTTGATACACGCTAGAACGCTGAGCTATACGGACGGTAGGACTAATATTCCGTTCTTGGAAGAACTGAAGTCGGATAGGGACGTTCGGGATGGGCATGAGCAAAGGGGAATATTTCATAGATACAAAGTGAAACGTTAATCATGTGTTTAATGTTGTACAGGAATCGAGCAATCATATTTTGTCTATTTCACATATTTCGTCTATAATCGTGGCCGGATCATCAACACATGGTGCGAAAAATGATTATGTCACACTATATGATAAATTCTTGTCAATTTTGTAATTAAAAAGTGTTTCAGAGATACAAATACAGGTGTCAACTAATCGCCAAATTAAGGTATTAAGGTATAACAGTATCCAAGATCTAGAAATAGGCGAGGCAAAAGTTAGAGTCCTCGAGAACAAATCACATTGCCTAGTTGTAAAATAAATTATGGTCCCCTGGGGATTATGGTCCCCTTTCCTTACGACCCTTATACTGGCCCTGACTGTTTATAAAAAATAATAAGGAAAATAATTGTAATTAGGTCACCATATAAATCAATAGAGAGAAAGACCAAAATTTGATAGGACCACCTACCCTTTTACACCGGTATACACCAATGGGACAAGTTGGGACTCGATGGGGCAAGTGGGATTTTGCCCCATTGGTGTATACCGGGCTTTAGAGTACCAGATAGTACCCAGAGACGGACTAATCATGAATCACGATACTTATGATATAACTGTGATTTAAAAAGTTTCATAAAAACACACCACTTAAGCATGTACGAGGGTTGTCCCAGAAGTAATGCACTATATGCTCTAACTTTAACAATAATTGATTTTTGTCCACGAAATTTTCAGTAAATGTACCTTAGAGACATTTTGATTACTCTACAAATTTTCATGTTGACTGATAAAACTATATTGATGTTATTATAAAATCAAGTTGGTGAGTTTGGGTAGGGCGGGGCAGGTTAAACAGTCACGTCAAAAGGAATAAAAAATTGAAAATATGAAATAATTAATCATTTGGTGTAGCTATAAGAAGTATGCTCAAAAATACATTTTAAGATACTAAATTACTGTGAGCACATCCTAGATTTAATGGATGTATATTGCACAGTGTCCCATTTCACATTTTCTCAAAATATTGCCCTTTGCATGTTATGTACTTTTGATGCCTGTCAGGTCAAACACTCTCGGCAATTTCTTCAACTGTGACTTGTGGAGTTTTTGCCTCCCATGTTTGGAGTTGTCAAACAGGGTCAAATCGTCTCATTTAAATCTCTTCTGCCACCCCATAATTGCAGTTCTATCTGGTATACACTCCTTATATACTTTCTTCATGGTAGCATTGTTTTGCGTGGCTGTGAGTCTAAGTGAAGTATGAAACTAGGCCACCAAACGCAAGGCCTTCTGTTATCAGGTTAGAATTGCAGCCATTTTTGCAATTTCTTGAATGTGACTGTATTTGAATTCGTGACTATTGAAATGTGGTATTATGACATCATAGTGCTAAATGTCATTATTCGTACTTGGTTAACATCATGCTGAATAAATTTAACAATTTCCCAAACATTTTGACCATTTAAAGGAAAGAAATATTAATAAAATAACACTTTAGATCTTTTCATAATTAGAAAAATTGGTACCTGCCCCGCCCATCCCTACCTCCATGTTGTTATAGCAACCATATTAAGACTTAATATTAATGTTGGATGCTGAAACTTCAGGATATAATAGATTAAACTTCAATTGTTATATACAGAAAATTTCAGCTGAATTGAAGTATATTAAAGAAAGTTAGAGCATATAGTGCATTACTTCTGGGACAACCCTCGTATATCCTTCCTCTTCGACGATACAATTTTGACATTTCTAATGTATCAGGAGTTTTCGTCTTTTGGTTTAACAGCATGTTATATCTTGTTAAAATCAACAAAACAATTTAGTTTATCATAAAAGGAGATCCTGAGAAATCATCACGTGACTTTTTGTATTTTATTATGTTGACATAGTAAATAGTTTTAATGCCACCGGATTTGTCAGTCTTAAAGATGGAGACGGCGTATGAAAATCCAGTCAATGGATCAAGTCCACATTCTTCTCCCAGTTACCCTTTGCATTCGTTTGACTTCACTTCTTAAAAGAGAGCTTCGTCTTCAATTCTGTAGTTCTGTAGTTTAACTAGACTCTGCACGCAGGGTACTCCCAGTAGAATACAGCACAACACAAATATGATAATACAGTGTAATAATAAACAGCGCAACAAAATACAGCATAGCATAGTGTAGTGTTACATAGCACAACATAAAACAACACACCATCATTACACAGCACAACCTACCACAACACACCATTATATTATAGCACAACATACAACACAACACACCATTATCACACTGAACAACATAATACAACACACCATTATCACACAGCACAACACAACAGACCATCATCGCTCAACACACCATCATTACACAGCATAACATAACACAACACAGCGTTGTCACACAACATAACACAACACACTATTATCACACTGTACCACATAACACAACACACCATTATCACACAGCACAACACACCATTATCACACAGCATAAAACACCATTATCACAAAGCACAATATATAACACAACACGCCATTATCACACTGTACCACTTAACACAACACATCATTATCACACAGCACAACACAACACACCATTATCACACAGCACAACAAAACACAACACACCATTATCACACAACACACCGTTATTACACAGCACAACATAACACAACACATCATAATCACACAACACAACAAATTATTATCACACAGCACAATATTCGGTGCGAACAGCGCAACACAACAACCAGAGCAATACAACGCAATACAAAACAGCAGGACGCAACATCGCACAGCACAACGTAACATTGAGCATAACGACTATTTTCCAGCTGATAAAGTCATTCAATAAGCAGAGGTCTGCGCGTTTAAGGATTTAATAAACCACACAACTTGACTCACCGTCTGTAAATAAATGTTTGAGGTTTGTTTCTTTTAAAGGTGGCTTTGGGCTATCGTCATCGACTCATGGCGTTTAAAAATATATGTTTTAACCTAATCCCTATATTACCAATTAATGACAAATTGTATTTGCCGTTCCGATTCAAGCCAAGTCCAAATAGCCCAAAAATGAATCAAAATGTGACGTCAACGAAATCATCCGAATTTTTTCAAAACAATTTTCTGGATTTATTTACAAGAGAGGGTAAACTAAATGTAGATTAGAACGGATCGAATGGGGTGGGGTGGATCGAGGTAAGATATAACCATACGCAGAGGCGTTACCATAGAGTTAACAGACTGGTAGAAAAGGGATATGGACACGACACTCAGTCCATTCCATAAGTTTGACAACCGAATGTCTCCTTTTGAATTACATAATAGCCTTTCTATGTTTGCCGATTTAAAAACTATCAAATTTTGGTTTTCCGAAATTTTGTAATCGAGGAACAAAATGAAGATTAAAACACTGATATAAACGCTTTTTGCTTCGTTATCCAACTCCAAGTTGCCAAACGTATTGATGGGAGTGTAACCCCCTCCCAAAACAAGACTGTTTTGATACCCCCTTCCCCTTTAAGATGAGATAAAGATTCCAGGAGATTGTTAAAATGAAGTAAAAGTCATGAAGTGGTATATCAAAATCACTTGAAAGTCGAGATAACCCAAGTGTTTGCTTAATGATGATGAACCTGTAAGGGAGGACTACTACACTATCTATTGTATTCAATGAATTGAATAAATCAATTCAATGAAACCATTTGGTGGCAATGAAATGACGAGCTGGAGTCAAAGCAAGTTTAGTTATATTCATTTACACTATTTAATTTGCTATTTAGGTAAGTCTAAAAATATAAGTATGCCTATTTGTAACCCTTCCTACTTTCTCTCGAAATCTCCATGATGTGATAAACAATGGAGAGAGAGCATCCAATAAATAAAAATACATACCTCGAACAAGTTTCCGTGTGTGTTCATTACTATCAATGATGACCTCTATGCCAGTCTTACAGTTCATCAATGTTTTAATACAAGCCACACACTCCATCACGATCATGGCGTCTGAGAGCTGGTTCAACTATAAAAACATAATAATGGGAAATGGTACAAACCATCCTCGTTCACTCGGCTCCCATCGGTAGATCTGTAGATGAAGGCAGTGAAGACCGAGCGTGCCAAGATGGGTACAAAATGTGCTTAGAGGGAGAATGCACCATTTACATACATAACAAGTTGGTTGAGTCAATTTCAAAACACAAATGAGCATACAGTTAAAATCAAGATGCAAAAACCAAAAACCAAAACCAAAACCAAAACCAAAACCTTCATCTATATTCCATTCTCATGTAGTCTATTTAAATTTTTTCTCTAATTTGTAATCAGTGCCAATACAGTAGGGCAGAACATAGTTTTATGGGGGGGGTTCTGTTTTTTTTACGTGACCGGGGTACTATATGAAAGTACTTACCCTCTTCCTCCCCATAGTCTCCATGCAACACAGTAACACCTCCAGGCCATCATGGTCCAAGAACTCTTGCAACCACACTTCTCCACAATTCTTCAATTTCTTGTTTAACGCCGCGTACAGCTGCATGGATGGTATCCTTAGCGTACTGACGCATAACTCGGCCTCGCATGTCGAGAAGTCTATGTTATGTAGCGTTGAACTTATCCGTTTCTTCATTATACCTCTCATCGAGACTTTACCTGTTGCTGTTGTATTTGTGAGGTCCCCATCGGGGTTGTCAACGTGGTTGCCTTCATCATTAGATGCCTTATTGCTTCCATCCTTATCTGTCTCAGTTATGCCATCAGGACAGTGGCTATTGTTATCCGTTGGTGTAGCATGTCCAAGTTGTTCATCGCTGTTTGGATTAATGTCAGCACTCATACTTGGGAGCGTCTGTTCACTATCTCTATATTTATCTTTCACGCTGTCACTCTTGTTAATGGCGTTTTCCTCTCTAAGTTCGAAGACTTCATCATCTATGTCACTTGGAGTGTCAACTGCTACATTTGTAGCTTTGGCTTCTCGCCGTCTGAATTTATCTGAAAACCACTTGAACATATTACTTCTTCAATTAGAACTTTAGCTGGTTATAAACCCGAGACTCTCCTACTCACTGGTAGTAAATCAAATGATACAGGCTGGTTTGACACTTTGTTATCCAACATATAGCCCCCTTGTCATATTAACAGAATATTCATTGTTTATGTATGTTGTGCTGAATTAGACCAGTGTGTCTTTGTTCACTTCATTTTGCCTTGAAGAACAGTTTCTGTTTAAAGATATACTGAAATTACATGTTAACAACTTTGTTATGCCCGGATTTCACTCTGTTAAACTACTAATACATGTAAACTGCTGCAGTGAACGTCAACTTATTAGTCATTAAGGATGTTGATAATAACATGTTCGCTCAGTATTCTATAAACATTTTGAGAGGAATGTGACCAGAAAGGAATGTATTTGGGCTCTGATTAGTAGGCAACAATCACGTGAGTCGCAATGAATCGTGGGATGAAACGTCATTTTTGGTCCGTGATCATAGGCATAAATTGTCCGGATATCAACGAAACCAATTTGTATTTATTCAATTAGGACAAAAATGTTTGTTATAATTTATGACATTCTATGATTGCAGTTGCAATAAATATCCACTCAGTCCAACGCACAGCTTCAAGAAATGGATTTCATTACAAATAAAATATTTATTTATTATATATTTATTTATTATATATTTTATGTCACAACCAGAAGTTGTGACACAGGCCCGTGGCCAGGGGGAGGTGCTGGGACCCCCTCGGCCACAAGTTCTTTCAAATTCATGCAGTTTTTAACAATTCTGAGCATTTTCGGATGAATTCTTAGCCAGAAGTGTAAAAAGCCTGGCTGAGGGCAAAGTGACATATTTATAGGCTCCAACTATTTTGTAGCTGTTTTTTGTTGGTGTTCGGCGGTTGGCGTCTGTGTAAAATGGCAGGTGGTGACATTTTGCATGTTATGACAATCGGCCCATTGTTCCCCAGTGTAAAACCGGAGCTGGGTGGGCGGCAGAGTCGAATGTACGAAGTGGGCTAATATTGCATGAATGAGCCAGATAAATTGATCTTTTATTCGAATTGAAATCATTAGTACGCAAAAATGACAGGGTCGTTTTTGTACTTCGGTAGCAAAAAGTTAATGAATAAACATTTCCAATAAATCCCGGTCCCTTTTAGGAACTATGGCATATTGCCTAGATTCATTCTGATTTTCTCACGACGATGGGCTTTTAAATTATGATGCTATACTTGCAATGACAGTAAAATTTGTAAACAAAAATCAGTTTAAAAAAATTAAGGAGATAGACTTCCTTGAGTAAATCCTATGATATTTGGCCTGAAACTCTGACATTATACCGATGTCCCATAAATAAGTACAGAACTACATTGCTATATAAAAGAGTGAGACTGTAAATAAATAAATTCACAAGGTCTCAAATGAAGTAACATGATCCTCTGTGTTCTTTAGCTAAGTATGCAAAATGTCGCTAGGTGTACTAACTGTTCTATAAGGACAAGGCACTCCAAAAGATTTTTGAGGAATGGAGCTTGACCTAAAGTAATAGTCTGGAGAATTAAAATTACAGGATGGGTTCAAGCAAACATACCCTGTCATTTAACTACCGTATATTTAGAAAGAAACTGGGTGTGGCTTTTCTAGTGCTATCACCATTTTTTATGGTTTTGGATGGTTGGGGTTTGTTTTCCGTATGACTGGTGTACTCAGGGCTTGGATGCTTTTTTCTTACTGAGTGTTCTGTAATAATTTTTGGTCCTTTCCCTTTGACACTTGTGCACACATAACATACCCATAGCCAGATGCCAGATGTCAGATGGGGGGGGGGGGGGAGCTTGGGGAGCAAAAGCTCCCTCCCCGGGAAAACGCAACAAAATCCATAGACATTCTTTGCATCATGAGTTCACACATGCGCTCTACATATTAACTTTGTTTTGCGAATGCAAATAACTTCTGTCGGCTGCCGGATTAACCTACATGGTAAACTCATTTAAATAAGAATGGAACAGTGGCACAGCTGGTCATAAAATACAGTGGAACAGCTGGTCATAAAATAGTAGGTTAAGCCGACAACCGAAAGTTACATTCACGAATACAAAGTTAGATTACCCATCTTGTCCACAGTGATCGCTAATTGAGACCCAAAAGACCCTATTTTGGGTCCTAAATCTACTTGTCCTCACATAAATTGGGCAATTTAGGTAACAAACTGGCATAACTTGGCATTATTGTTTAATTTTGACCCTGTTTTTAAAAAGTTGAGCCCAAATTTTCAAAAGTTTTATGCCCCCCTCCCTTTTGATTTTTAGATCCGCCTCTTATTCTGGTAAGTGCACAACTTACCCCTATTTGGTGACGAGACGATTCAACGAGGTCTATTTCCACAACAAGCAATACATCCAAACAATCACCATCATCTATATCTACATCCCTAATATCATTCAATTTATTACGTCACGTAAGGATTCAAATGAATTGGCCAACCTCCTTCACATGTGTTGCGGTTTGATAGAACATAAACAGCTGAAGAGCAAACCTGTTTTTATCTGCACTGTTTTTTTTATCAAAGTAAATTCAAGACACTCTGCTACAAAAGTCCTTGAATTATGAATTTTAACATGCAATCTTTACAACTAGTCAATGCGCTTACTTCTACTGTACTAAGTCTATTCACTTACTTGTCTTGTGAATAAAAACATGTTTTCTCCATCCCCGGGTCTCCATCCTAGCCACAATCAATGTTAATTGGGAAGGAGGGGGGGGGGGGGCAGAATTTCCCATCCAGGCCCAGCATTTGTTCAACTTAAAGATGAAAATGGAGAGTGGAAATTAGATTTGCCTTTGTTATTTGCCCATAGGTACTAAAACAAGCCACTCAGTGAGTGTGCTTTGGTGCATGAGTCCTGCAAAAGTGAAAATAAATTGTTTCCATGTTTTTCTCCGAGGCAAAAAATCACGGGGAGTAAGTCAACCCCCCCCCCCTCTCTTATATTCTCTATATTAAAATATTGTATTATAGGCTACAGCATATATATAAGAGGGAGGGGTGACTTTCCCCATGCAAAAATCTAGTGTTTGTAGTTTTTACTTTTTACTCTGCAGGAGGGTCTAGTTATAAAATAAAGGACGAAGCTTTTGTAACGACCCTCACCGCCCCTCTCTCCGCACGGCGGTGCAGAGCAAACAGAAGTGGTAGCGTGAATAAGGGGAAGGGCTAAGTGAGGTGAAAGAATCGTTAGCATTAAAATCCCGGGTTCGTGTTGTGCCTGTTAATACTCTCAAGGGTCCTCAGACATGACTTATAAAATGACAAAGGGACGGAATATGTCACGCTGCGACATAAAACATACACTTTAACTGACAAAACAGATGAGTTAAATGAAATATATAACTAAAAGATTAAAGGTTTATTAACAACTGAACAACATGGTAATACAGTGAGGCACACAAAGTGTGCAAACAAAGCCACACATAGTGGAAAACATATATGAAAAATACCTTTGATGTTGTGATACCTGAATGATATATGCATAATATACCTGAATAATATACACTGAATGGTACAGTGTTATTTACTTGAATGATAGACATATTATCCATCTACCTGAATAATATCCTGAATAATAGTAGTACATTGTTACTAAATAGCAATGAGTACATGCATTCAAACAACACTCACAAAGATGAATCTAAAGTAACTACTGGACTAATATCCTTGCTTCATGGTCACATAATATACAGCATTTAATATCACATTTAATACTGAAACATGTAACTTGTCTACTAAGACTCTTATGTTATAACTTTACATTAATTAGCTCATGTGCATGGAACTCACTTTAAATACACAAAAGTAATTCTGTAACAATACCTTCACCTGGGAGAGTGTGTGACACAACCGGATAACTGGTTACTAAATAAACATAGGCATAACATTGCAATATGCATTACCACCATAACCTTTATGACCTATGAATAATAAGTACACCTACAACTAGCTCTTGTGAGCTTGTGATATGACATAAAGTCAAACTTACAAGTTACCAACTAAACATTGGACTAAAATGGCAATAATGTATTACCATATCCTTACAAGGACCAATGAATAATAAGTACACTTACAAATAGCTCTTGTGAGCTTGCGATATGACGTAAAAGTCAAATACAAGTTAGCAACTAAACATTGGAATAAAATGGCAATATTGTGTTACCATATCCTTACAATAACCAATGAATAATGAGTACACTTACAACTGGCTCCTATATGTGTTACACATGACACAAAGAACCTAATAATGACCACTGACAAAACACTAAGATCTGTGAGACCAACTATACATATCACCATGGCATTACTATAAGTAATCACAAGTTATGGTGACACAAGAGTTGAACATAATAGTACCATAAGTAATCAACAACTTAATAACAATAACTTATACAACATATAGTGTTTGACACACCAAGTAGCAATACCAATATATATACATGAGTGCACATTAATCATTATGTAACATGCAAGTCAAAATTAATGTTATGTAACATGTGGGTGCAATCCCACATCCAGTGGGTACATGTCATGTAACAAGTGGGTGCATGTTATACGCAACATGCCGGTGCATGTCAATGCCGATCAATGATGGATGGAATCGCATACAAAGTATACACAAGTTAATGTAATACAACACCACTCATAGGCTATACCCAGGTATAGCCTATAATATTCTATGCCACAGCATAGATGTGGGTACAACAACTTGTATTCCCATTGATGACACAAGATGGAACAAATGGTATTTCCTAACTGCCTAACAGTGCTTTTGATAAAGCCATACATGCATAAAATGTATAAGCTATGGTACTAATATGACTTCACAACTTTACGACTAAACCGACACTTTGACAATAAATGAACAATTCAAGTCAAAGTAGATTTAAATAATGAACTAAGCTTCCATGAGTGTCTAAACTCAACACAATCATCCAGTGCTGTTGCCAAACAAGAACTTGAACTCCATAAACTGACTATATACATTACGTAATGTATATAGCTGCGCAGGGTAGTTCCGCGGAACGCCCTCAATAGACGCAGTGTACCAAGACATGACCATATCTGACTGTCAACAAATACATTGCGTAAAGTACAACTGCACAGAGTAGAACCTCAGAACAGACTGAGTAATGCAGTGTACCAAAACCTGATAACACTTACCTATCGACAAATAGCCGACATTGCGTAATGTACAACTGCGCAGAGTAGAACCTCAGAACTGCGGAACAGACTGAGTAACGCAGT